ACCGAGATGAATGCTAACTGATTTTTCATATGTGATGAATTCTCTATTCAGGCTCCTCCTTCAACGCATCAGTGTGAAGCAAGAAGCAGCTTCCGCCTAGCATCACGTTTTCCTCTTCCTAAGGTCTTAGGATTTCTCTGGATTTCCGCAGTTTTTATTACCGTTTTATTAGTTTCTTTTTAAAGCATTATCCTCAGGACGCTTATTCATGATGGAGCTACAAAAACCGATAATTTAGCTTCTTCATACAATCGGCTAATAAAACGTAAGCACATCACTTCTATGATGGAAAGCTATGGAGGACAATGCTAGAGAATAAAGTCCTTTAGCCTACTTTTCTTATTTAACTCTTGACGTCTTTAATAAATTCAAAGCTGTTATAGTGTTTCTTTGAAATATTGAGAAGAGTAAGTTCTTTCTATTGAGAAGAGTAAGTTCTTTTGAGAGTTAATGATCTCATCGACCATCACATGTGTAACTGCCTATTTGGCTAGCATAAAAATGCTAATATTATTTATCAATATAAAACTTATGATAGAATATCATAATAGTATCAGCAACTTGCGATCATACAAAAAGTGAAAACCAATAAATAAACGCAAATTATATCATACCTCCTGTAAAAACACTCATTGCAAATGTTGTGGAACTACTAACTTACAGCCTAGGTACAACCCTATAGAGCGCTGCTTTAGATTTGCATTAAACAAAAATCGCCGATCTTTTCTCAATTCTGTTTCTTAATTCTATGCTCAAAATTTCTTAACCTTTTTTGCGCCAGCAAAGGCTCCCATTGATAAAAATCCAATCAACAATGGGCAGGGCGCCAAGGTGGGAGGTGGGGGCAGATATATGACTCAGTGGCACGAGTAAAATTCTGTAAAAGTCGGATTTTGCGTGCATTGTCGCCTTCCGCGTCCCTCCCGCCCCCCCCCCCCCCCAAAGGAAAGCTATCAAAAATCAACATTTGCCACATTTTATCTTCCCAACACTGAAGTAAGAGTAATGGTCTGTCTTATTTTTTCTACTTTTTACATCCCAACACTTACCAAGATTTTTGAAATTATGCTCCATTATTCTCAGCTATAGTGTATGTCTTACTTCTTCAGGATTACTAGCTTTGAACCACTTCCTTGAGGCAATCGTTGAACAACTTTGTATTTTTACACTTTCAGGTCCCTGATTATGTGATTCCTTTCATAGCTGACTAGAAAATGCGTTTTATCTCAGTGACTCTCATTGCAGCCATTGCATCTGGGAACGATCCCAACTTAACACATTCACGACAATACCACCCACCGGTGGGTCGTACGTGTCCTGCCATTCCGGACAATACGACCCACCGGTGGGTCGTATGCTTTCTGAAATTTTTGATTTTGCTAGTTCACGGTGAAACTTTTTAGGCAAACCAGTAAAATTCTGTGTACATCTCTCGGAGTACTTCCCAAAAGATTAACACATGAGACCACAGGACCCATCAGTGACCTGAAAATATCATGCAAACTCAAAATATGCTCTGGTCCGAAATGGCAGTCATCGAAAAATCGACTCTGTCGTGAATGTGTTAAGGTAGCAAGCTGAAATGAGCCACCATTAGATGCGTTGTCTTCTTATCTTTGATGTCGTTCTCTGGAAAAAGTTATGAGCGGTTAAATGTGTGAAGTGATCGGGTTTTCAATTTATAATGTGCTCTGTAAAACCAACTTGAGATTGCATGACTAGCATGGTATTGATTGTACTGTTTTCAGGGAATGTACACATTCAACGGAAACACAATGAAGTGCTTCTGATCAACCATTTCTTGAGATATGGCGCTGTATATTTGCCAAATTTGGACTTTTATTGTTCATAGCTGTTTCTTGATCAAAAATACTTACTTGTGTTTCCTTTGAATGTGAGCACTACCTGGAATCGGTACTTCAATATTGTGCTAGTCATGCACTCCTATTGTTTTCCCGAAAGTTTTGTCGGTTTTTTCAAACCACTATAAAACCACGCACAATGAAGACTTGAATGAGCTTCAACATACATTCAATGCAGCTTTTCCTCCTCTTTCTTGTGGATACATTTACGAACCAATATTTAAAAACATTAACGAACTTTATGCTTTTTCTGATAATTGCTAAAATTCTTCACCCGTCATTTTTATCTGCTCAAAGTTCGGCTAATTTCCTACAATTTCGTTCCAGGGTTCCGGAAAAGTTTAAGTATGGCTTAAATAGAGCAATTCTCGGACTATATGGCAGTATTTTTAGGTTCTTCTAATCTGCTGTTTTTAGCTTTAAAAAATTACTTCTTCGAAAGTCTCGATTTTTGGCAAAGTCATGAAACGCGAAACTGCAGCAAAAACATGAAAGCTTTCAAAGTTTTCGCGAATTGAGACTTGTTTGTTATTAAACATTATTTATGCAACATAACCAAGTTTGATTTGCTTCAAAAATCTGCTTTTTGGAATTTTCGGTACTTTTGCGTGGTAGACGTAATCAAAAAGCCGCGGCTTTTATCACATAAATAATTGTAACGGACTTAGTAAGTGTGAGCCATGTAATCTAAAATGGATACAATGTAGCTAAAGGTTTGCTCTACATAATGGTTATCAGTGCTTTTTGGAAACATCAGGATCAAATTTTTTAAAATTCAGCAAAGATTTGGCGTTACTGCTGAGCTGCTCGAAAATCCATGGCGATAACATTGCAAAGACAAGGTAGATCAGAGAGCAAACATAACTGTAAAAAGGAGGAAAAAAATCCTCCTTTTAAAATCAAATGTTACCTAAGTTGTCCACGGATTGGTGTTCTGTGAGTTTTAGTGAGCGATGAAAGAAACCGACAAAACTTCGGGACAACCTAATACATTGAAACCCAATGACTTCACATTTTTAACCGCTCATAACTTTTTCCAGAGAACGGCATCGCAGATATGGAAGGAGAATTGGAATATCAGCTCATAAAGACACATCTAATGAGCGGTTCATTCCAGTTCACCACCTTAAGTTGGAATTGTTCTTTTGTTAGAATTCTGCATTGCATCAACATCTAATTTTATCAACTGTTGAACTTCATTATCAAATGTCGCAGGCGCTTGTTTTTCGGCGAATAAAATGACTATACGAATGCGAATGGAGTTGGTGCAATGCCAAGTGCATTATCTTTGTTTTTGCTTATCTTTTTATCTTTATCATTATCTTTTTTTTTGTCTTTGTTTTCCTATTTATAAGATCCATAGAACTGGTAAGATTACCCTTTCAAGTAGATTACTGGGCTCATACGTCGTCACATGTATATCAGTACCGAGGTAGAGTAAAGGGATGAGCGTGAGGGGATGTTAGAAGTGTGGCCATCCATTTCAAACAAATCAGTACTCGCTCTCATATCTTTTGCAGAATGGAGATCCTCCCCTGCATTTTTGCATATAAATCAGATCGATGCATTCCATTCAAAACTTCATTTTCTCTTCAAACCATGACACAAGCCATTCGGCATCTTATATTCTTCGCAGACGCTGTTTAACCATCTGTGGCAACAAAAATTACTGAATCAGCTTATTGTAACTAATTATTGAATCAGTTTATTCCAGTTAACATTTAGGACGACTGATTCACTGGTGCCACATAGGCATCGGTATACATTTCCATAATTTCGTTCATTTCGCCTTCCTTCAGTTGAAAAATGCTAACATCCATCTGAATATCCATGACCCCCTCACATCTATCCATCCCAAGATCTTGCTAAATCCAATATGTCTTCCACCTTTGAATTTTCGTTTATGTTACATTTTCAAATCGATTTGACATGTGAGAAGCTCATATGGCGCTTGAGACGACTATGTGTCCTGATGGGCATCTCATAAAATGTGCAAATTGCCTTCCTTGCTCTTTGATGTCGGTTTCGATGTGATGGCATTTCCGTGAACATTTTCACATTTTTGAGTTTATGATGAGTAACCGTGCGCTGCTATCATGCCAACATTCATATCAACAGATAAAGATTCAAAAAACGATTGGGCAGTTCTGAAACTTTGTCACTTGGGGGAGTATCCACCATTTGTCAATACAAGAGTCACAATAACTTACTTCGTCCATCCATTTGAAAGGCCACAATTTTCTTCCTCACTAACCATGTTACCTTTAAGTCTCAAGGATTAGGCGCCCAACAGACAAGTCCGCCAAAAGCTTAGATTTCTTCAGGATCATTCGGTTTTATGGAACGCCCAGAGCTTACTGTATAACATTCAAACAAACTATGAAAACCCTCTCGAAAGATGCTCAAAAAGTTGACTGCGCTCGGTTTACCACATGAAAAGGGCTGAAGAGAAAAAGGCCGCTTCGACAATGCTGGGAATGCTAAGCTGTAGATCAAATCAGAAGAAAATCCAGAAATAAAGCCTGGTCGGCAAGCTCTACACCATTTGAAAAAGCTTTTGAAAGCTTTCGAATGATTCAAAGATCATCTACTTGCGGTCGTGCAGAAGTTACATGTAATTTAAACAAGAAATCCAAACTTCTAGTAAAGCGGCCTTATGTGTAAGATTTTACTGTATTTACTTCCTGACTAGGAACGAAAGGAATGAGGGAAGAAAAATTTTCCGAGACCTAATCAGTCAACAAAATATAATTTTTATAGAGCCTGCAACTTTTTTTATCTCACTACTTCCCTTTTTCCCTTTGGTCATCCTCAATGTAGAGGTGGAGTTGTGAGTGGTAAGGAAATTCGATGTCTTCCGTTTATTTTCGTCTCTGATTATCTCCCATTGAATGCACGAATATTTATTTAATCTCCTCATTCTTTCCATCTGCATTCGCAAGACATTCAAATGTTATTTTATTTCTCGCTCCTGAATACAAAACACTTTGCGCTTCGAAGAGCCGGAAAAACCCACAAAAAACCCAAATTGGACTAATTTCCCATTCCTCGGCGTTGGCTACAGACGCACGCAGTTTTTTCCAGTTGTCGTACTTGCTGGGCACTTTTTCTCTTTTGTCAATTTTCGCAATAAATTGCAGAATAGCAATGCCAGTTAGCGAAGCCAAAATGCGGGGAAGTGCTGTGTCAGAGGAAATTTGCGAAATGACTGATCAAGACAGCAGGACTTGGGGGAGCTGCGGAGCGTTGCCGTCCTCTTTTGATCCAAATCATCGAAAGTACAGATGTTGCTGTGGTCATGTCCACGCTACGGTAAGCGAGAATTGCTTCAATCAATCCACGGCCCATTTTTATTGGCTTCATTTATAGACGGGTATGCAGATAATTCTCGCTTTGCTCAGCATTACGGTGTTATTCGACATGTGGCAGGTTATAGGGGGTCTAGCTTCCTCACCCAAGCTTGATAAGGTAGTAGCTGGGAATCTGGAAAGCATTAGCGGTGATAAACTACAGTACTCTTACAGTACGATATGGTTAGTGTAGCAGTCCGGTTTGCTATCGGAGCTGGTATCACAGGAAGTATACTGGTATCTTTAGTCACGGAAAGAGCTGCGCTCCTTGTCCCGTATCTACTTTTGCAAGTGAGTTCCGTTTGAAATTCTTCTCGTAACAGATGAGGTATTTCTTAGGGGGCTGGTCTGGCCGCAGGACTTGTCTTTTTCGTCGCGTTTTTGTACATTTCGTTATTTGGTGATCGCTCAACGGCTGCGTCCTTTCTTCGGTCACATGGCCATAGTATCAAGTCAAAAGAGGACCTTCAACTCAGTGAGTAATTTTTCCACTTCAAAACACGCACATGCCGCATAGGTTTCCTTCCAGAACGTGAAGCTTTTGCATAAATACAGTTTCCATGCACAGCGTGGTTTTAGAAATTTGAAGAGATGCTATAGTACGTTAACCGCATATGCCAATTGTTGTAGCCTAGCCCTACTTCTACTTGTATTTCTACCTGTGGTGGTCCGGGACAGTCGTGAATAGTAGCTTTATTAGTGATTGAATACGAATAAGAATGGGAGGCTAAAACGAGACGAATAAATAATCTATAACGGAGCGCCCTATGTAGCCCTCGTTTCCCGCACGTAAGTCAATACATATTAAAAAAAAGTTGGTACAACTTTGTTGGTACACTTAGTTGATCCAGAAAAATAAAATCGCGGATTTCGCTGAAACTTCGTCAGAAGGATCCTTTTTGCATGCTGATCACGAATAGCAGATTTTTTCGCATGGTAGTGTCATCCGGTGGTGTTACGGCAGGATTACGGTGCGGGGTCAAAACCATGATTTGGTCCAAACTTCGTCCACGGGTTATTTGGCACGCTGAACATATTGATTATATTTTTCTCAGGTTATGGTGGGTCGGTAGATGGCTAAAAATCATGAATTTGCTCAAACTATGCTTATAGAGATTCCGAGCATGCTGATTATCTACGAATATCACGCTCTTTTTGCGCTTGGAACTTTTTCGCGAAGTTGCGGTAGGTGCACGTAGGTGGATAAAGTGATCTCAGCGTGCAAAATAAACTCTTTTGACGAAGTTTCACGAAAATCCGCTATTTTTATTGGGTCAACTGATGTGGACTAGCGCCAAAAGTCTCTAGGTTCACAATAACAACACAAACAATAATAAAGATAATGTCATTCTCCAAAACCAATGCTCAAGAGCAAATGCGAAATGAAGTCGGGAAGAAATTGTTTCACTAATTGGCGCACCCCACCCGAGTGGCTGACTCCGCCCTCAGAGTTGGCCTTATGCTAGAAAAAAAGAGAAGGTCTACAGATTTAGCATGACATAGTGCGCAGAGCATCGTGTAGACCCGCAGACGGCAAAACTTGCCCAACTTCCGCATAGAGAGGAACAGTTTTTCAAATTTTTGCTTCTTAGGATTTAATCGGATGCAGGTCAGCGATAAGATGACTTAATGGCTAAAAAGTCGGAAGTATGAAAATCTGTGTATCGGAGAGAATTACATGCTAACCTTTTTTTTGCAGATTATATCAGCTGGCTAATGGTCATCTCGTTTGCAATCGTTATCCTACTGCAAGTCTGGCTAATGAGCATCGTTATAGCTTGTTGGAGATACATGAGGTGTGAAACTGCTGCTGTTCGAGTCTCTTCCACTTTTCCGGATGTTAGAAGACAAAAAGATCATTTCTCTTTTTAAGTATTTCTTTGAACGCGCAAATATTTTCAGAGACAAGAGAGCGTTCAACAAAAGTCTCGGAGCAATCGAAGTACCGTCAAGACCTTCGTCAAAGGTATCTATCAAATTCTGTGAAGAGAAATAAGCTACTTTCATTTAACTTTCTTAAAATAGTGAGACTCCAGTTTGGGTATTTTCTCAATAAGGAGCGATTTTGTGATGAATAATCCAATTTTATTAAAATGCCTACCATTACCCCCGCCGACTGTCCGATTTATAGCGCTATTAATGTTGAACACATCTCTGCCTTATGAAAGTCTCAGTGCGAAGCAATTATTCTACAGTGATTTAGCTATAGGGCATTTGAAAAATCGTGACGATGGCGCAACCGCGCGCGACACACAGGCCCGGAAATCGCATTTTCTTGATTTTCATCTCTAGTCGAATTGTTTTTTGCTTACGTACGATAATATTCAGACACTGAAAAGAATGGACAGAACGTTGAAGGCAGTGTCTAGGCAAATCTCTGCAAATGGGTTTCTGCCTGTAAACTGATGAGGAGGCTCTAGCTAAGGCGCTGCCCAAACCGCAACGCAAATAATTCATTCACGGCTGAGAAATCCATCCCAAACACCGCGGCTGCGCCGTGACCATAAGACTTGGTATGGGTCCCCACGCGAACGTAGTGTTAAAGCGAGCGAAGTCGTTTCGGGTTACGGTCACGGCGCAGGCGCGGGGACGAAAATTTCTCAACCGTGGATGAACAATTCGCGCTGCCCTTCGGACAATGCCTTAGTTGGGACCCCTCATCAATTTCCAGGCGAAAAACCCATGCGCCCAGATTTGCCTGGACACTGTTTTCAAGCTGATGCCTTCTTGTATGAGCGTTTTATGCTCCTGTGGGCGCAAAGTCCGCAGCAAAATCCATCGTCACGATTTTATAAATGGACTATACGTAAAAGCGTTTAGTCATAATCGGTTCGCGTTTCATTGTCCTATTACTTCCTCAAAATTGATTACGATTTCATTGCTTCTACGAAGTCCATTTTCTAATCTGGTAAGGACTAAGATAATGATCAATTTCTATCCTGTATTGTCTTTCCCAGCACTTCCTGAAAATTTTGGTGGCCCAACAGTTTTTGACAAGTAATCAGAATCGAGTAATCTCAACCGTTGCTGTTTATTAGAGAGGAAGGGGAGAAGGGAAAATGTCGTTTTTTTACTGCGATGAATTGTTAAAAAAACGGTATTTTCAGCAGCGTGCTATATTTTGACTTTGAAATATTCACAGAAAACGAAATTTACCTGAAGTTTGAAAATAAAATACTGAAAGTCATCGCAAAAATCTCTTCTTCTCGCCTACCCCATTTCTCAAAAAAAATTCTACAAGCTTTCCGCTTGCTTTCGTATGAATTATGTAGACATATTCATTCACAAATGCCTTTGTATATGTTCTGAGGCCAAACAATGAGAAGAGAGGACTCGAAAGATGGCTAACTCTACCCCGTTAGGGGTACCTAGCATATATCAGATTGGTCCGAAAATTCTTGCGCATCATATTCAAAAAATCATAACTTCTTCGTAACTCAATGGATTTCTTTAAAAATATAATGTTTGAAAGCACAGGTCAAGCTCTTTAGGCTCTTTAGGTCTAGCCTTTTACAAATAGTATGGAAAAATTCGAGAGACAAAAGAAGCAATTAAACGTTACTCATATTGGCACTTTTCAATCAGATCCACGAAACTTTGCAAGTGTTTTTGAAAGGGAAATTCTGTTGCGAGATAATTCGAGAATTAGAGCCAATACAAAAAAATTACCATAATCTTGCAATTTCAAAACTTCATGTTCAAAAAACCTCAAACTTTACTGCAAAGACGAAACAGTCATAGGCACGAGTTTCACCTTCCAATTCTAGCGATCGAGACCTTGTTTGAATTTTGCAGAAAAAGCAGACATGAAACCGCAAATTCTGCTTCAATGTTTTAAGTTCATTTGAACATGCTCAAAAATTGCAAATTTTCATTTAGTTCACATTCTCGAACTATCTCATACTGATTCATGGCAAAGGTGTCACTTTGATGTGCAAAATTTTCTCTTTTAAACAAAAACACTTGCAGAATGTTTTCGTGACCCTTTTTGAAAAATGTCAATTCTGGATAATTTCGTTTGATTGCTTTATTCTCTCGGAAATTCCCATACTATTTAACCGCAAGCCCACTGCTGTAAAGTGCTTAATCTGTGCTTTCAAACAAAATTACCTTCAAAGGGATCCATCAAGGTACGAAGAAGTTATGATTTTTTGGAAATGATGCGCAAGAACTTTCGGACCAATCTAATATTTTGTAAAAAAAAAGCTCAAGTACAACAATAAACGCCACAGCCTTGCTGTTTCAAAAACAGAAAATATAGCTAAGATTTTTTAGCGTCATATTTCAATGCGTGTTACAGAATACCATGCGGACTACGCGATCTGCCGATCAGTTGGACCAGAAACAACCAAAGGTGGAGGCGACGCGAACAAGTAGTGCTACATTAGACTATGTGTAGCTTATTCTCCCAAATTATTGATTTGTTTATGCAATGTTGATTTATGTCGATTTTATTGTTTGACCAAAACAAGGCACTGCCGCTAGTTTTGTTCTCAAACGACAAGCATTATGGAATGGAAGCACACAAGAATTCTGAAGCGATTGCTCGTGGGAAGTTACTTTGTAGCAAGCAGTAATTTTCGCGTCTCTGCTTTCACAAGAAGTAATCCTGGTAACCAGTACCATGGTCTAAGCTGGGAACACAACCTCATCGTAACTCCGGGCTCGACTAGCGTTATCACACCGTTGTTTATCTCGGCAACAGGCGCGTTGTGTCCTGCCGCTCTATGCGCTGTTCCCAGTGACTTTGTAATCGTTGCTCTTTTTTGCAATTTTTTCACTTGTTTGGATTGTTCTCTGTAAACCCAGCTTCCTTTAGCATAATTTACGCGGTTGCTGTGAATTGTCATCCTCATATTGGGTTGGTGCGAAAATAATGAGCGTTTTGCAAGTTCTCATTTTGACGTACTGTAACTTTTCAAATTCTACATTTCTTAATGCTATTGGGACCATCAAAAGCGACAAATCTTTCACAATACAGCGCACATTTACCTGTATTCATGGATTAAAAAACAAAAAAAGTTTTTTTTCTAAAACCTCATTTTCGACAAATCATAACTCCCTTCAAAGTTTGTTAGTCTATGGCAAATAACTATCTTGCAGCCGCAAGCCGATAGTAGTAATAGAGTTGGAAAGGGCATGGACGAAAAAGATTTACATGGAGAAAAAATCGAAAAAGAAAATTGTCACCTTCAACATTTTTTCGTAGGCCTCAAAGTCCCAAATAATGGAGTTTTTTTTTGATTTTCTGTGTACTGAACAGCTAACGTTTTTACAAAAACTTTCAAAGAAGGCCCTACCCATACCCTTGCAGTAATGAGCGAAGTTTGGCGATGCTTCCTTTAATAGATATCCATGGACCACAGAATGTATGCAACTACCCATGTTGAGATGACGTTACCTCAGCTCAATTATCTCGAAAAATACGGTTAAATATGCGTAATTTAGATAATTTCCACCTTACGCAATGGCTCAATTTTCGAATGAATGCCATCATTGCATGAATTCTGGCCAGAAAAGTAAATGCAATGAAATTCTGATTTTGACTTCGGTTATGGTGAAGCTCAGAAAATTTTTAACGAACAAGGCTGAAAGCTTGTATTAACCATCAATTAGTAAAGCATAAAAAGAGCTTTTTAGGAGAATGCTAAAACTATGTCAAAAAAGGAAGTATGATAGAAAAAAGTTGTCCTGAAATAAGGCCTGGAAAACGCTCATTACTTTTGCACCAATCTAATATTATAATTCCTGAATTAATGTTATGTCACAGTGTTGGTGTACAGACTTCCGTCAAAGAAAATGTGAAAAAAAGACTCAGAAGCGAGTGAAACGGAGGGCATTTAGACTGGATTTGGATCATTTACTTAGAATAAAATAAATAGTTCAACTTTTATAGGAAAATCAAGGCAGCTATGAATGTGGGAAACTCAAAATTTTGTCCCCACTTATACTCTTTTTCACCCAGTCGGGCAAAAGAAGAGCGATAGGATAGTAGTAAGACCAGATGAAAGTTGCTTTCTAAATAGTCTGGCGATTTATCAAGTTATAGGTTGGCACACTTTTTTCAATGACTTTTGTCTTTTTGAACGTAGCTTATATTCTGACAGCAGACACTTTTGCCGAACTTTGTCATCTTACGTAAGAATTACGGTGGGTCTACGGAATGGGAAAATTTTAGATTGCGTCAGATTTTGTTGAAACTTGGCCTATGGGGGGTTATTCGACATACTGATTACAAAAATGAGGCCCTTCTCGAAAGGCCCTTCGTAAAGTCAAGGAATGAATTCCATTTTAGCGACAGTATGATACTCGTGTTCACCTTATTGGATTACCCTATTATGCAAGTTTTTATCAAATTCTGAAGTTTCGCAGCTTAGTTATCGACAGGTTCTCCTCCAGATTTGACGTATTTGACTTGCTCTACTTCTGAAACGCGCCTCATCTCGATTTCTCTTCAAAATTTCCCTTCTTTTTTACTGATTCTAATGTGCCAAATTTTAGCTACATGCTGCCTATAATTCCTTTTTGATACATTTGTTTCAGGTTTTGTATGGCTTCATTTATGCCATAAGATCCTTGAAACCTCGATTTTCACAGGGCTTTCAAAAAATATTTGAATTTTTTCTATAACGTTATCAAAAATTAAATGGTTTGCACAGACTTGCAACATACGTCACGTTCTACATGATGCCAGAAAATGAGAGTGCCACATTATAAAAGAGTGGTTGCAAAATTATGTGCCAACCTAATACCTCGTGATTTTTGTTTTATATTTCCCTCTTCATAACTATCCAAGCCAAATACTAGCTTTCCTGGCAACTCTTCTTTGATCTTTCTGTGCCTTCTTCCCAGTAAAAAAATCTTTTGCAGATTTGCAAAGTGTCCAAAAGTGCTCTAGAACACGCTATTTTTGCAACTCATCTGCAAGAGCGTGCGACCCCTGTAGATAGTGCAAACAAACAAGTTTAGCGAAAGTGTTCACTATTGCGCACTGGTCGCTCTTATCAGCTCAACGAAAATACGTCATGTGGTATTGAATTTCTGCACAATATTCCTGCATTCTCACTTCTTAATTACTAAGAAGTAAAAATGCAATCGCTGTACATCAAATTACCAAGTCGTATTCAATTCAACATTGGCATTTTTCAAACTCGATGCGTTTGTAATGAGTTTAGAGCAAGGCCTGAATTGAATTGTTCGAGCTTGATGCATAAATCTTGTACCAAAGTTTTGCAATTTTGCGATCTTTGAAATTTCGACGTAAATCGTTTGATTCAATATAAAGAGCGAATCTTAGCTTTCCAGAAGTGCTCAAGTTAAAACTCTTTGATAGCATACGACAACGACATAATTCAATTGAAAGAAGCATTTTATAAGTTTGAATTTTCGATTTATCTGAAATTTGGTTGCCAAAATGGCTAGATCATCTACTAAAATCATAATTTAACTAACAATAAGAGGTGCTATGCCACGGAGTCACGTTTTGCGAATATATGCCGGTTCTCGATTTTGTTCGAATCTCCAAATTTACGTAAAAGACATCCGATATATAAAAGAAAAAGCATATTATATTTTGACTAAAGTTTGTTTGAGCATTTTTGAAACGAATTATGTTCTTGCGCAAAAATTATGCACCAAATTGCCTGTGAGAGGAGGCATGTAGACCTAAGAAATATGCCAGGGATGGTCCCCTGACTTACAATATGTCACATTTTCTATAGCCACACAGTCCTATCTTACGAATTGTGCAAAATGTTTCACTTTAGTTATGGCTAAACTTTATACTCTCTCTATAGGTTTTCGTACAACGAAACGCTCTTACCACATGTGTTTACTCGTTTCTTTTCGGGGGTCCTACCTTACAAGACAAGGATATATGTATACCGTAAGATGCATCTCGAAACGCTGATTCTAAATCTGTGCGCTCGATATCTGCGAGACGAACTTTTAAAGGAAGTTATACACTTTTTTCGCAGAACAATTGTGTACTTTTGGGTAGTTAAAATCACCAAACTTGTTCTAAGTCACTGTTTGACTATTGAAGAGAATTCTAGAAAGAGTACTGCTGTATCTAGACCCATCTTAACCATATTCAGCATTTAAAAAGGAAAGAAAATCTTTTATTGATGTTTGACCCTCCGCAGTAGCGCGATTTATTCATGAAGAAATAACTATAACTCCAACCAGGTTATCGTTTCGCAGATGTGGAAGACAGTATTGAACCAGCACTGAAAGGCTCATTTTTTGATTTACAAATCATCATGAATGGCCACTGTCATCAAGTATTCTTCCCTTGTTAATGCTCCCTATACTCTGGTGCCATGCACTCCTGAAGGTTATACTTTTGTTGTCGAATTTCAGACTATTACTGCACTTCATAGCGATTACTTGTTGTTGGCATTTCAAAAAAAAATATCAAAGTCACTGTCCCTTTACCAAAGTCACTTTTCGCGGTTTTTGGTTATGGTTATGGTTTTTTTTTTCAAATCGCGCTGCTTAAACTCATATTATATGTGATATCTCTAATTAAAAGTAATAAGATTGCTGGTTTTGCTAGTGAGCTCATCGGTGTGATAGCTGAAGGTATTGTCCAAAGCCAGACTGACTAACTTATACTTATGGCCCTACGAAGATTTTCAAAATTGGTCTGCGTCTGACCAATTTGTCAAACGAACTTTTCCTTACAATAGATCCAAACTTCTCTTGTTTTGCTACCATCTTTCCAGGAAAGCCGAAGGTTTCCATAATGCTTTTCGTATTTTTTAACGAAGTCCGTCTCAGTTTAAACCTGCTCGATTGTCATATTATCTCTTATTCGCAACCACCAGATCATAGAATGGAATTTTTGTCATATGAAGCAATATTCGTTATGGTGTAAATAAATTCGCATTCGCTTCTCATAACAGCTATTGTATGCTACGGTATGGACTGCACGAAAAAATAGTACGATGATATCAGAAGGAAGTGACACTGTCATTTCATCAATGTTCAAGAACGTCAAAATATAGTTTATTTTTGCTCTTACAACACAGCTGCTGCAATTCAGCCATACAGTTCGTTGTGATTATAATTTTTGCGTCAGATGGAGGGTGCCCTTATAAAGTCATTTTTTCAGCGCGAAAAAAAAGCAATGACATGAGAAGACGATTTAGATAATTCTCCCATAAATTCATTGAATGAGAGCGATTAAGAAAAGTTGTGTACTAGAAATGAAACTTGGGATGACAAGGTTTTGAGTATACATGCATCGGACTTTTTATGCTCCTTAATTTTGATGACTGGTCAAAGTGTTTGTGTGTGATTATCCCAATATCTTTATCTCCTCTTTAATACGGCGAATTACAAGGAAATTATGATCCTGATATGACTGCACATGCCACCCCATATGTTACAATGTACCTTGCTTTGTACTCTTGCAATCGAAGTTCTTTCGTCATCGATTAAAGTTCAAGTGTCATAGTACGATATCGAGGTTGCTTCCATTCCTTGGCTCAAAAACGACTCAAATATCCGCTTATAAAATCTTGGTCTACACTCATGTAAAACTCAGCCACCAGGGCTCGGCACGAAGTAAGCAAATGCCAAGCTAAAAATCGTTCAAAGGGAATTTCGTAAATACCCATCTTTCCTGTGTGCTCCAGAAAAGTTCCCATGTGAACCAGCGTGCATACGTGCTGTGACGCTGCCTTTCGCTCTTTTTGACACGTTTCTCCTAAGATATCAACGGAACTGCCCGAGGTTAACATGTTCAAAAGAGCGAAAGGCAGCGAGATGACGTGGTACCTATGGGAATCTTGCTGGGGACGAACGATACATAGTCACATGCATATAAGCCCTCTTGACAAGTTGCTACACGATTGACATGCAAAAACACGATCTTGCTCGCGCGTCATCTTCATAAATCCAATTTTTTCATTAAGTTGTAATCAAATGCCTCGGTTACAGCACACACACGAATGACTAAGAATCAGAGTAAACGGACATAGATTAGGAGGAGCATAGTAGGCATTGTGAAAAAATTAGGTGACTAAAGGTTGTAAAAAGCCTTTTTCTGAAAATTTCCCACTACTATAGAATATTAAAACGGCTCGCTTGCAAGGCGCAGATATGGCATGAAATTAGTATGTGTACGCGCTTAGGATTAAGGAACAAAGTATGAAATTCAGGGTGTCCCAACACACTTTTCAATCGTTGATAACTCCATTCCCACACAGTCTTTTGCTTAGCTTTAAGTAGCATTCAGGAGCAGGGTCCAACTTAGATTTACAATGTGGAGCGAATCCCCCATCGCTCTTCATTACTGTAAGATTATGGTAAAAGTATGCAATTACATGAGTGAAAACAGCATAGCTTCGTTTTTGTATAAACATGAAAATTTTTGTTTTCTCGGTTTCTAATTGAGGAATAATCCATGAACGAAGCATATGAGTGTCTGCTACAGTGTGCAATTCTCATGAGCAAGTTGGAGATTCGGAGGATGTTTTTGAACAAAGATATGAATATTCCGCGATTTTTTAAGCCTTCAGTACTACTCAGATTTTGGATGCAAACTTACAGTGGGTCGAAGTTGGTGCGATTTTGCACACCATCTTGTAAAGCTTGGCTCTATATGGTATCCTACACCCTTACTAAAATAGTGAACAGTAGACTTATCGACGCAATAAGCGAGAGGTCTCAAGACTTATGTTACGACCTCTAGGTAATGCCAAAATCTAAACGCTCCACATTAAAACCAGAAAAATTATCAATAGTCGCTAGCTTTACATTTGATGCCGATGCCAGGCCCTTTGCCAGAAAAAAATAACTTCCTCGATTACTCTGACTCCAAAATTTTTGCGTCTTACCATGTTTCAAATGGATAATTATAATTTGAGTCAGAAGGCTCGCTTTCATGGGTTGCTGCAGGATAAGATTGTTGAACTAAACTGTTCCTAGCATGAAGGACTTTCATGCTCTTCAAATCTATACACAGCGAAGAAGAAATATAAATGTTACCCAGCAGGTTACTAAACTCAAACTAAACTCTTTCTAACATAAGCATGATCGATGTAGACTATGATTACATTACTTCGCAGTATTATAAGGATACGCTAGTCATTTTCATTCTCCTCTTTTCCTGTCCGTATTAGTCAAGATAAATGAAACCTGGTTGTCTGACTTTATGACAAAATAGAAGATCTAACAGCTGTTAAAATTAAACTCTTAGGACATTTCGCTAATTTTTAAAGACTACAAAGCCTCTTACTTCCTATTTTGCAGATTAGTGATGTCATCGAAGGTCACCCCGCTAGCAGTACGGTCATTTAGTAGGAGTGCTAGACTCGGGTCGATCCAGCTTGCACTCGTGGAGAAGCCATCGGCGATTAGAACCCACCAAATCCCAGGAGAGAGGGTAATCTCCTAATGTGTGGCACTCTCGTAAGAAAACTTCCGCAGCTTTTCCAGACTCCGCTGGCCAAATACGGGGGCCGTCATACCGTAGTCGCCTTACCCGGTGATGGAATTGGACCGGAAATGATTGACCATATCAAGAAAATATTTCATTTTAGTCATGTAAGTTGTGTGAAGGTGTTATGCCCAAAAAATAAAGTGTACACATTGCAGGCTCCTATCAATTTCGAAACAGTTCAAGTTTCTTCCGAATTGGTGGAAGGGGATTTGGAAGCAGCGATAAAGGCGATAGAAAGAAATGGTGTAGCCATCAAGGTGAGCTCTAAAGCACATTACCTGCAATTTTTATAATCTTCAGTAATTTAGGGAAACATAGAGACAAAGCATAATGATCCAACTTTCAAGTCAAGGAATGTAGAACTTCGCACAAGGCTGGATCTCTACGCTAATATATTGCACTGTGTCACTATTCCCACAATACCCACAAGACACAAAGTGAGCATGGGCTAAACAGTGTTGCAGAGGGGGGGGGGAACTTCTTCGAGTGGCAAGGCAAACCTTCTTAGCAGGGGAGGGAGGGGGGAGGAGGCGTGGCTTTCGCTATGCCCTCTTTTTTCTGGAATTTTAGAACACGCCTTCCGAAATATTTGAATACCAGAAGTTCAGCGAGCCTACATATATCTCTGGACTTGGGGAAAAAAGGGACGTAGGGGGAGCTGCGCCCCGAATTTAATTATTCATAGGAGAAAACACATTCGCGCAATTTTCCACTCATGTAGGCATTTTTTAGACCTCGTGACCTATTCTCGAGAGGGGAGGGGGTTGAGGGGGCAGTCCGCCACCGGGTCTGGTAAAGATTGGATTTTGACATTTTGCAGAACATCGACATAGTCCTCATTCGCGAAAACACTGAGGGAGAGTACTCTGGTCTCGAACATGTAACTCTTCCCGGCATCGTCGAAAGTATCAAGGTGAGAAAAAAAGCCTATTGGAAAAAGATTTACTCACATGTTTCAGCTAGCCACTCGTCCATGCGTCGAACGTATTGCTCGCATGGCGTTCGAGTATGCAAAGTTAAATAACCGTAAGAAGGTTACTGCGGTTCACAAAGCGAATATACAAAAATTAGGAGACGGACTGTTTTTACAAGTGAGAGCTTTTTTGTTTTGCAGACAACCTAGAGAATAGGTTTTCAGGTGGTCAAAGATATGGCCAAAGCTGATTATCCAGAGATCGAATTCGAAGCAATGATTGTTGATAATGCCTGCATGCAAATGGTAAGTTGACATTTTTTGACAAGAAAAAATTAGAGTTCTAGGCGGGGTTGTCTTATTTGGTTGGTCTTTTTTTTGAGCAAGCAATGAGATCGCGCAACTTTAAAAGGTTTTTTTTTTAAATTCTGAAGTTCAATAGAGCATAAGTTGCGTTCACAATATGTACCTTCAGAGCTTGAAAATTGGTCAGCAAAAAAGAACCAATCATACAATTTCTAGACACGTGGTATGAGTTTTTTTTAGCTAGGCTGAATAATTCAAATCTTGCGAAAAACTAAGCGTATCTGTCCTACTCCATTTTCGACAATATTGGGCGCTGTTTATCTCAATAGGAGGAAACAACCAAAAATTTCATTTCTCCCAGCTGACATACTCACAGCTATAAATCTTGAAATTTGTGTTTTTTTTCTAAAAAGTAAAAAGCAATATCCTTACAAATAAATCAGCCTGCACCCTACATGACTTCATGGACATATTCCAGGTATCAAAACCGCAACAATTTGATGTCATGGTGATGCCTAACCTCTATGGAAACATTATTTCCAACATTGCTTGTGGTCTCGTTGGAGGTCCCGGCCTCGTCTCCGGTATGAATATCGGCACTAAGTACGCCGTTTTCGAAACGGTACGCCATCAGATCCATACCTTATATAAGGCTTATTTGACCCAAAATGTAGCTATGGTAGGTCTGAAACTGAATTGCACCTCACCCACCTTAGCAGATACTTTATGCTGAGGACCAGATTTTCTAGCCCCTTAGTTTACATTACCGCAAGGCAGAAATGGAGACCGAATTTTCCAATTGGACCGATGATAACTGAAAAGAAATAAAAAAAGAACATCTTACACATCCACGAGATTTCACTCCACTTACAAAGAATAACTTTCTTCTAAAATCTACGTTGCAGGGCACAAGAAATACCGGCACATCATTGGCAGGCAAGGATCTCGCTAATCCGACAGCATTCATACGCGCCAGTGTCGACATGCTACGGTAATCCCTTCGACCACGCTTACCCCACCATACTAATAAATTCCTCAAGGTACCTTGACTGCGATCACCACGCTAACATGATCTCAGATGCTTTGTGGAAGGCTCTAGTAGAACAGAAAGCTCATACTATGGACATCGGAGGCACTCATAAGGTAAAATAAATGATACATTTTGCTGAGGGTTTTTTAAATTTTTGCTGAGGGTTTTTTTCAACGTATGGTATTAAGGCTTCCGAAGTTGTGAAAATGACGATAGAAAACATCGATGCCATGATGCGAAACATGCGATGAGTAGAGGAGGAGCACAATGTAAATAGAAGGAACCGCATCACTGTCAGTGTCACGGTGATAATAAATGCTCAGAAATTGACAAAGGAATTTCACCTTGATTTTTAATTGAATTCAATTGTTTTTGCTACTGTGGCTGTATATATGCCTCAGGATTTTGAAGAGTTCATTTCCTATAGTACTTCTGGACTTAAGATGCTTTGAATTCGAAAACTGAGGTGTTCAACAGAGCTTCAGAAAATAATGATATTGATGAAAGAAATGAAAAGCGATGCTACATAATAATTGTATTGTGATGATACATAGTGGTAAATAACATAGAAATAGAAACACTGTGATATAAGCTGCTACTATAAAAAAAGCACTTTCTCCTAGAGTATGTTCAACAGAATTTTCTCTAATTACCCAAAATCACGCGGTTGTAATGACAGGTTTTGTTGAGATCAGGCATAAGAAAGTGAAATTGAGTCAAGCTTTCCTTGCTCATCTTCTTCCGCGCAAGTACTGCTCCGAACTTGACAGAATTTTCTGTAGTTCTTTCTCTGTCAATTTCACAGTCTCTTGCTGGTCCGTCCACGAAGCCACATCATCATCCTTCACGATGGTGCAGAACGATTTCAGTATGTCCTGCAGAAATGGAAACTGTGTTTGGCACTGTAGAAATGCTCGGATCGCTTACTAACCTTAGGCTCACAAATAAGAAGAGCTCGAGGACCCCAATCGTAGGTGAATACTTGAGTTTCAGAACGATCTGTGGATTTTGCGAAGGATATATATCCTAGAATAAAAAGAAATGAACATGAGTAAAGAAAACCATAATTTGTGATATCTTGCAGGCAGAGTCCAGACAAAAGTGGGTACCTGAGTTTTTTATACAGAAACTAAGGGAACCTCAACAATTGATTGTACGGCAAGTCAGATGATTTGTTCGCTGCCAAAAATTTCAAAACTAAGCTTTCAAAACGACCGTAATTTTTACAGACAAGTAAGCATCCTCGCTGTAACGACGATATGGGGGGTATGGGTGTATGGGGCAGAAATTTGGAGTTGATTCTCACGCGGAATCAGTCAAATAGCTACAGCTTTTCAGCAACTTCGCATTTGTTCAATCAAATTGGGCGCTCAGATTTGCCTAGACACTGCCTCAAATGGAGTGAACAAAATGTATGCCAAAGAGGTTGGAGACCAAAGACAACAAGCTTTCATGTAAACAGTGAATAAAAAAAATTGAGCAAAACATCGAGTTCCAACTTTAGTTATGTACGTTTAGCAAAGCATGTCATAAAAGGATAGATGTATTTTTTGTGCAATAAAAACTCACCCTCATGGATGAATTCGGCCGCGGGTGCTGGAGAAATAAGCTTCTTTATGTCGCCAAAAACAGGATCAGGTTTATCGTAGTTGAGACCAAGGCCACTCTGAAGACCGTTGGCAGAGAGATGAGGTATGATGAGTATGTTGACTTACTAAGAAACTGAGGAGCATGGATTCTGTCACACAGCTAATATTCGACTTTTTGCTCTTCGAAACGAAAATGAACATGAGAATGGCAGAAAGCAGTCCTCTTTTCGCTTGAGCCTACAAAATCTAGCTCATCTTCAAAGTGACGCACGTATGTGTGAACAAACCAAAGTATCCTGTGGGTAGTTCTGCTCTATTTTTTGATCACGTACAACGTGAGACTGATTGTTATTCTGTACTACCTGAAACAGAACTACATTAGTACTGTAGATCGTTAGCAAATTAGATATTCACAAAAAAAGTTAATAAATCCTTGATATCATATTAACGATCAACAATTTTATGAATGGCTTCCCGCTAAAGCGCAGTGAATCAAAAATCCTGTAAAACCAATGCACTTTCCTAAGAGCAAACATAGCTTTCCAGTCTAGTTCTCAGCTCCGAAACATCTGTGGTATATCTATCGTAATATAATTGCGCAGTGTTTTTCCTTGAACTGCGATAAAACAAGTGCTAATATCCCATGAATTTTACGCAAAGCGGCAAACCAAAAAGGTAGCATACGACCCGCTCGTGAGCCGCATCGTGAATATGTCAAGAAGTATGCATCCAGCTCACAATATTGAACTTAGAGAGTAAAGCAAACGGCTCGCATAAAATGGATATATGTAACACATATCTAGCAATTTTCAGTTACCCTTAGTGATACAACCATCACACTGTAACCCATAAAACTGTACTGTTAAGTCGTCACATAAGTTTAGATACAATTTCTTTATTTCCTCTAGGAATCTCCAAAAAGTTTGCAGTTTTTTGAAATCACTTCAACACTTTTTTCTTGATCTAAAAAATTTTCCCATTATTCTTTTGCTTTTTGTGGACTAACGGGGCATCAGTAGAGATATGAAGGCAGTTCGGAAACTTAAGCTCTTCACTATCGCAAACGGGAAATTTGCCAGAAATTTCCCGGAAGAATTTCGAACACTTGAGAGCTGATTTTCATGTGTGATATGCATTCGAAGCATGGCTCGGCTCAGCTGGCACTTGGTCAAGTTGGATATCATTTTTGGGACAAAAAGCATAGGGAATATAATATCTATGAGAAGTCCTTAGTCAATGTGTTGTTTTCTTTGAAAGTTTTTTTACGTTTGGGGTTTAGGGTCAAAGGGGACTTCAATTTGCAAAAATCAAGGAGACTTTCAAAATTTCAAACTGGTGCCAGCTCCTGCTGAGCCTTGATTCGAAGATTCCCAACCTTCGACCTGATTTGAGGGAAAATCTATTGGGATGGTGAAGATTTTTCCCAATAAGCGTAACAAAACTTTAACGATCTACAGTCTCTCCCAGTCGGAATCAGGCCGATCCTTTAGCGTAAATTTGCGCGTAGCAGCGCTAGGGCTTTGCGCTGCATATGCGCGCTGTCAGAGAGAGCGAAGAGACTGAAGAGAGAGCAGATAAGCCGTAAGCGCGTCACAAAATCTCAGCGACGCAGACTCCCGCTTTGCCAATTTTGGCCTATTTGGGACAGACTGTATACCAAGCGCACCTTCAATTAACATTTCACGCATATTTCCAAGTCGCTTTAATATGGTAAAAATTTTGAGCTCCCTTCAAATAACTACTATATCTGCTCTAGGAGTAAACCACGATATGCAAACGGTACTAGTCATACTGAAGGTAAAATGAATACCCTGATTTCACGCGTATAAGGCGCGGGGGACTTTTTTCCAAAATCGACAGCCCAGACACGCCAAAGGGCTTTACAACCAAAGGACCCTGTAACGTGTTGTATACTGCTTAGGAAAATTGTGCGGTATAAGGATCTTTTTCCGCAACATAGTGAAGCGGCTGAGCGGCTCGCTTAAAAAATTGAAAAAGTGCGCCTTATACGCGTGAAATTAGCGTAATTACCTTGCATCCAAATGATCGCTGCAGGACTGCACTGGCTTCCCTTAGAGCATGAGCATACTCGTGTTTCGAAAGAAAATGCATTTTTTGTGCAAGGGCGTTCCTTAGCGCGCCGTCCCTCTCCTGAAACGAGGATTATAACAGCTGCCAAAGCAAGGGAGTATACCGACGGCAAGGAAGAAAATGGAACCTACGGTCGTTGAAGCATGGAGCAGATGGCGAGCTAGATGCCGTATAGTGAGCGTTCTGCTGCCGTTCAGCACCTGTGATACAACGGAGAACAGTTCAAAGTATAGCCAAAACATGTGATAGTGATATGCACATGCAAGCTGCGCGAGTTGTGATCGCAGCTCAACCAATATTTTGAAATGCCAAGTGTTTCATGAAAAAAATATTACCATCCCAAAAGTAAATTCCTTTTTTGAATGAATCAAAGTATTTTTTTCTAGCAGACTAATTCACTGTTCGATAGTGCAAAGCAAGCTCTACAAATGACCACCAACCAACAGTGTTAATTCAGGTAAAGTTTGAGCTAAAATCGAAAAAAGTTACCAGAAAATAGAATCTTTGAAAAAAATCTAACGAGGCTACAAATTGGTCGCCATACAGAAGATACATGGTAGTATTCGTAAATGCATCTGCTAAATTTTTTTGCGCATAGACACCGAGAAAAACTGGCTGTCCAAAAAAGGCAAACTTCCCCCTCCATCCTCCTACATATGTAATTGTATACTGCAAGCTTCAATAAGTATAATCATGAAACTACTCTGTTTGTGCTTTAAAATCGAGAATTATCAAGTTTAACCTAAAAAATGAAAAAGCGCTATTTTTGCACACTGGGACTATTTTTCGTAATTTTGAGCAGCGGAAAAAATCCAGAAAATGTGTTCATAAATATTACTATGTATCCACTGTATATGATGACCAAAGTAGAAGTCCGTAAAGATTTCTTGGATGAAGACCCAGTTTTTAGGGTAGGTAGTTGGAAAATTTTGATTTCGGCTTCAAACTTTACGTGGATTATGACTAGGTGGATCTTTGTTGCTCGTTACGTAGAGCTTGCTTTGCTCTATCAAGTGGTATCCCAAGTTTGCTAGGAAGACAGAAACAGTTTGATTTCTCAAAAGAAGGGGTTTACTTTTGGGACAACCTTACATTATTTGACCTAAACGCTTGAAAAAATCTTGATAATGTAATTCCGCGATTCAATACTACATGAAAAACGCATTCTCGAAAATTTTCTTTCCGATTCTTCACAAAAATACTGACTTGGCACAACACCTCGTCGAAATCTTTTTTTGTAATAAATTTAGAAACTTGCCCTATCTCAGCCTTCTGTGATTTTACCACAGAACGAGAAAGGCTTGAGTTTTACGTTTTTCCCTATCCCTAAGGTAAGACTGAGCTTGAACCTTTCGAATACGACTGTTAAGACATTGCTGCTGACGTAGTGTTAATTTGAATTTGTCATAAGATAAAATTCAAAAACCCAGTGGAGCATCAGTCTGAGGAATGTTTCGTGCCTGTTTCACGCAGCGTAGTCCAATCTTAACAATCCTCAGACATTCTAGACAGTCAGATCAAGATGCACTTGGCAAACACGTGGCTACTTTCTTTGTTTAGTAATTACAAACCGTGAAGGGACAAATGGAATTGAACGGTACACTCTATGATTTGCCGAGTGGGGCTATTACCATACGTAAAAGTAGGAAACTTTGAAGAAAAAGTAAAGCGATACAGAAATGACGAAATAGAAGTAATTCAAGCAGCAAAGAGATGATTTCTAGCGCAGAAAGTCGAAGAGGCGCACTCGTCTGAGCCGAAGTTCATAGTTTTCTTCTCTCAGATGCTAGTAAACAAAAGAACGTGAGAGATAGGAAACAGATGAAAAGATGATTTTCTGTGATTACTATGTCTTCTGTCGGCAACAAGGATAAGGAAGGATAAAACTGATCTTTGACCATATTGGAAGTCACAAAATGAATAAAACAACTGAAGAAAGAACTCGATAACCTGAATCTGCGGCGAGGAGCTGCGCTCATCTTCCTCCAAAATTTCTACAGGCTGTGACGCCGAATACGTCGGTTGTGTTCCTGCTCTTCGAGCTGTTTGAGGAACCTGCGTCAAGCTTGGCCTCTGAATTCTTCGTGTATTCCCTGTCCTCCTTGAAGAGCGCGGCTCATTATCAGAAGAAGACATCTAAAATATTAGGTTGTTGCAAAAATAATGTCCGTTTTGCAAAATTTCACTTTGATAGGCTATAACTTTGTCCAGTCTTCTTTTTTTTTGAATGCAATCAAAACCATATGAAGCAGTAAACCTTTCTTAACCTGATGCGCACCTGCATATACTGATATCACAAAAGGGAAGAAAACCATGCGTCAAAAAACCGAAAGTTTTTCTTTTGAAAACCTCGTCTTCGTAAGACTACAACTCTCTTCGAGTTTTGTTCCTTTGGCTGCTAATTAGCTTATTTTGTAGACACAAGCCAGTAGTATACTTCTGCTTAGAAGAGACTTCAATGAAGGAGTCCGGCGAACAGAAAAGATAGAAATTCAAAATTATTCACTTTCTCGAGCCTATTTGTGGAAGGCCAGAAAGTCCCAAAGTATGGAAATTTGAAATTCTTTATACACTGAGTAGCTAAGCTTTTCGGCTAAAATTGTGAGAAGGATGTCCTGACCTCAGGCATACAGAAATGAGCGAAGCTTCGGCGATTTCCCTACTTATGAGAAACTTTGGACCCATAGAATGCCAGCAGCGAGTATCTACTTTGGAGCGTCGATTTCTCGGTTCAGATATTTTGAAAAAATCTATTTAAATATGCTATAGGTAAACAATGTCCAATCAATACAGTAGCTATGTTTTCAAAAGAACCCGTTCATTTGCGTCTGAATTGTGGCCAACGGAGTTAAAGAAAAGAATTTTCGATTTTGAGCGTAGCCGTTTGAGATGCTGGTGAAAGTCTCACAGATGAGATAGAAGCTTAGTTTCACAACTATTAGAAAGTACATAAAGAAAGCTTTCCAATGATATGTAGAATCTATATCGAAGAAGAAACTATGAAGGAAAAAAGTTGATCGGAAAATAGGCCTAGAAAAACGGACATTATTTTTGCAACAACCTAATACAACTCATTCTATTTGTTTCATGATGTCTTCCAAGTATTGGCTCAATGAAGTTTACATCAAAACTTTGAAGTCAAATGGGAGAGTATCGCGGACAAACTAGGTCCCTTAATCCTGTTGAAATCAACCCGAAATTGCGAGTAAACAGCTTAACACACACCAATTTGAATTTTCGAAAAGATTTGTGACATAGTTTACTCATGAAAGGCATCGTGAACTCGTCCCACACAAGTAGTTCTCATGGGACAAGCATTGTATAAGTGAAAAACAGTCTTTTCGATTGAAATGTGAAGGGATGAAAAGCCTTTGAACAACAAACAGAACATTCGGAAAATTCTGAGTATTCATTCTTCAAAAATATATTCGCGTTCTTGCGCCCGCAATTGCGTATTTGCTCAGACGCCTATTTTTTAAATGCATTTCTATTCTTTTTGTACCGCGATGCTAAAGATAGGAAGCAGAGTGAATGGAATTCGGTTGCAAGCATTTTCTGTGCAAGTCGCCAATGAGACGAAAACAGCAAAAGTCAACATTCCGCCAGCAATCAAGGTCAGTATTCGAGTAGTTACGTTTTTTGATTTTTATTTTTGTGAGTTAATCAGGTTGGAAATGATATCTGTGAGCATATATTTCAAATCTCTTTTTCTTCTCCATGACATTTTTCACTGTATATATTCTTTGATTTTGAAATGTCTATGTTCAAGTTCAGCGCTGTCTACCAAGAATGCAAAATCCTAAAAGGGAAGCGTAAGGCGAAGTGGCCTTTTCAGATAAGACTTATATTGCCTCGAAAGGCCCTGCACATTTATTCCAAATCTGCCTTCATCATTTGCCAAGTGCCTCGGAATGTCGAATTATGAGCGTTTTTGTTCCAAAAAATTGAACGTGAAACTGACCAAAATCAGATGAATTGTGTCAAATGGTCTAGTGTCGAGTATCAGAGCAGTTCATGCAATGGATACTTTTTGTCTAATATGCTAACACTTACCACTGCTTTATCTGTGCGCTGGAAAGACCGCTGGAGCAACAATTAATTTCACCTAAATTCTGCTTCACTTTTCGTACCAACAAACGCTCATAACTCGTCCAGAGGAGCTTGGCAGATAGTTAGAGCAGATTTGGAATCAGTGTGCAATGCTCTTCAAAGCGGTATGGGTCTTATAAAGGCCACTTCGACTCAAAGCGCTTCCCTTGGTAGTTTTGGCGGAAAAAACGCACTGTTATGAGAAGTAAAAGCGCTCCGTGTATGTTTGATCACCGTTAAGTTTGATTCATAGCTCGTTTTCGATTTGCCAGGCCCAATTTTCTAATGGTTTTCTTAACGTTTACCCTACATTGAGTGAATTGATTTGTAGTCACTCACAGCTAAGAGCAGCTAGTTCACAACGAAAATTGCCATACTTCAGCGAGGACCCACAGATCTTCTTCGAGCATTGTCTGAAACGGTGGGTGTCGACACCACCGCACCTCACTTCGCTTTTATCGATGATCCTGCGATGATTCCAAGCACCGCAGCCACGAAGAGAAACTATTACATGGCCAAAGTGAGTTCATGTCCAAGACGTCGCTATACTTAATTCGACATGTAGGAAATGGGAAAACGTGCTGCGCGCCAGTTGGCGGAAGAATGGCCTACATTATTCGCTTTGGATCGTGATGATCCCTATCTTCCTGCGTTTCGCCCTCAGAAACCAGCGGATCCCTTACAGGTACCCTACTTGCCTTTGAAAATGAGAATTTCACCGTTATTCATCAAATTTCTAAGGTCGACCCGACTGAAGCAAACCTCCTTTCTATGATTGAAAAGCGAGAAGTGCAAGATGCTGTGATGCTGTACGAACGTATGAGAGGCGAGAACATGGAGGTGTCTCAGGAGACACAGGTCTGTGTCTGTGTTTTCTCAATATTTGGACTATTTTCTCTTTTTTCGAGCTGATGCATCTAAATGCTTCTATAGCGATGAGGCTGTGGAAATTTGTATTCTCTCATTGCTAGTTAATTACTCTAGATGGAGCTGTTCAAGCTGGTTACTTACTATAATGGCAAAAACGTCCCATTTTCCGAATGGGAGGAGTGGCATGGAATGCGTACTTTTGGTGAAAATGAGCCAAGCACTTGGACACAGGTAGGCTCCGTATTCTCACCATCAGTATGTTAAAGTAAGCTTCTAGGGCGGAATCGCTGATCTTTTATATGAAGTACTTCCGCACACTCCTGAAACAACCTCAGTAATGATCGCTGGGTTAGCTAAGTGAGTTACCAATATAACTAATTATATCCTATGTTTATCTTCTCCTTGAAGATTTGCTACTAACGAAAGCGTATCCAGAGCAAAGGAATTATACAAGGTAACCGCTAGCAACTTATACTCGACTATCATCCATATTTCAGGAATTGTCTTCGAAGAGCAATCCGCATGCACAAGCTTATGACGCTTTGATGGCTGTTTCGAATTGGAAGGATGCTCAGGCTCTCATGAAAGATATGGCTGCGAAAAAAGTGAAGCCATCGTTGTCTACATGGAACTGTCTACTTACTGCAGCAGGAAAGGTTGTTTAGTTTTTTTTTTTATGGTAACGCTTATCCGTTATGTTACAGCAAAGCAACGTGAGCGAACGCCTTGCAGCATTTGAGAAGATTATTGGGGAAATGAGCGTAGCTGGTGTGACTCCAAATCTAGCAACCTACCATGTAATATTGAACAGCATCATCCAAAACCTGCCTTCATTTGAAGACAAAGGTACCGAAAAGAAGAGGGATGCGGCTTTGGTGAGTGAGAGCAACATTTTTTGCATTTATGAACCATTCACATTTACTGCCTTCGCGGTACTGTGCAATTGGTAGACTTTGCGATCTAATACATCCAAGACACTTGCTTGCGCTTTATTGGCCCTGCTTTAGACGGTGGCAATGTCCTGGATCTCTGAGATGTTGACTGAACTGGAATCGCGTCCTTCTCTTGATGTTTCCTCTGTGAAAGATCATTGCTTTTTTCTGGATGCCATGGGTTTGATTAATTAGTCAGTATGATAGTCATATCTTGCAGCTTTGATTGTTTTTCTGCTAACAATTTGCATCTTTTGTTTAGTGCTGGAAATCTGGAAATGGCTGAACGATTGGTAAAGCTTTACGAAAATTCTGCAAACAAGGTGAAAATGCCTGCGTTGACTGCTGAAGGAATGTAAGTCTTCTTAGTTTCACGCATTTGATTTTATCATTTTGCATTTTACTTCATCTTGCTTATAAGACATGTTCAGGTTCTATAATAGATACCTTCTTTTATTTGTGGAGCGCGTTTCATCCATGGAAGAAATTGAGAAGAAATACAAGGAACTTGTACCAAGACTTGTCGGCGTTTCTAGGCAGTTGACCTTGGCAATGGCAGATAAGCTAAAAGTCAGTCTTTCTATGACGCGATACCTTTCCCTTGCTCTCAAACTCTTCCCTTATTTTCGTTTTGCTGGTCTCGAATTCTGTTTTTTATGTGAGCAGCAAACTAGATAAACTCATCGGTTGGAAGCTATCGCTCATTGTCGGTTTCTTTTCAGCAGTCTCCTCGCTGGACACTCCTTGTGCGATTGATAGAGGACGGTATTTGTGCCCGACAGATGGTTGACATTCGAGTTGGTCAAGTTTTCAGAGAGCTTCTCATCGACACTCATTATCAGGTATGATTAGTGCTCCAATTGATTGTAATAATTTGATTGACCCAAATGTTGAAGGCTCTGTCTGCGGAACATCGCGAGGAATATTCTAAACTCATTCATCGCTTGGTTGACATATGGATTGAATTTAGTCGTTTCACGGAGGAACGGCAAAGAAGGCTGCAGCTGAAATTTTCACCTAGCTCGGTTAGTTTTTATGATCTTTTTTTTAAAGATTGATGTCTCGTTTTCAGATAGCAGAGTGTGCCCAACTTCTCAACCGAGTTGGAGACTCCCAAAAGGCATACGAGCTTCTGCAAATGCTGCTAGATCCCGAAACATCCGAAGGAGACGAAGCGACAGTCTTGAATGCAGGTTCGCGTGATGTTTTAGTAGATATCAATTGTTGCTTTTTTTTTCAAGGTTTTGCACGACATTCTGCGATGTACGAGCTTTTTGAAGATGCACTGCGCGAGCAGGATCCTTATAAGTAAGCAATCTTTACAAGTAAAAAATCCTTGCGGATGGATAGATGTGATATACCTGTTTTAGAGCTGCAACTTGCTTGGAAATCCTGAGCGTTAGCTTGCCGCGTAACAAGTTGGAGCCCTTAGTACAACGAATTCAAGATAGGTAAGGTGCCTACTTTGTTCTAAGAGTTCAGAAGAAATTCCTTTTTCAAGGTGTCATCTGACAGCCGACCAAAGCAGAATATTGAGCGGATTTGTTCGATTACGACCACAGTAGATCTCATGTACAGATTAGAAGGTTTCAAATGGTAGTGTAGGTTTAGGTTGTATGTATCAGTTGCTTGTTCAATATTTGTTGCTTTTGTTGTCATCTTGTTATGTAGTTGAAAAATGATATTCATAGTAATATCAAAATGACCCAATAAACTTGGTTATCAAGTTGAGCTTATATAGACTTCTCAGTCGTAGCATGTAAACTCCCTCTTCCCTCTCAAATACACGTTATTACAAGAAAATTGCTTTTTTTCTGCTGCGTTCTACATTAGTCGTAAAAGAGATTGACTGATCGACGTCAACTGCTAATATTAGCACGCTTTGACAGTTAAGAACCATTGATTATCTGTCATCAGAAGATGTGCTTCTTCTAGCTTGCAACGACTAAAATCTTCAAAATGCGGTGAGTGCTGTCATCATCACCAGCATTACATCAAATCTCGAAACTTACTCGTTCGGATGCGCCCTTTTGATCCATAATTGCTGCCTTCGCTTCGGATCTTGCCGATCTGGTTGTTAAAAAGGTTTTGTCCGCTTTTGCAGATTTTTTTATAATATATTTTTTTCTCAAGACAAAGATTTTTGAACAATTCGAGTTTTGCTAGATTTAGCGAGTTTCTGTCTTCAATAAGGACAATGTGATATGCAGGTGCACCAAAGTTGTTCACTCTGTTCGATCGTTGATGACTCTCTTGCTTTGGTCTTTCGAGGAAATTTAGGTAGCATTCTATGGAGCTGATTTCAACCTAGATTTTCAGCACGGAACAAATCCGATCGCTTTTCTTTGCTGTAAGGTTATGGTAAGTATTGGAGAGTTATTCTAGGCCTGAGGCCATGGTTTGCTACATAACTAAAATCGAAGTCTCTTAGGTTAGTTGGAGGCAATGATTTCGCGTATGAAGTTCGCAGATTACTCTAATGTTTCTATCATAAGTTATTCCAGATTGACCGTAACAACTGTCTTTCAGTGCTTGTCAAAAATGTCATCACACCTTTGAAAAGTCTGAAGAAGCTCGTAAAAAGTTATGTAGTGAAGTGAGAATGCGCGAAAACCCTATTACATACTTTTTCGGGTTTTCTGGAAATTTGTCGGAGAACCCGTTCCACAATAGTTCTGATGCTGAAAATCCCTACCGTAATCTTAAAGTGCGATCGGCGATTTCTCATACTGTAAATCTAAGCTAAAGTCAGCACTTAAAATGCGACAAATATTTTTCAAACGAAGATGCGTGGCGGTAGCCACGCCCCCGAAAATTTTTTTCAATGCTAAATTGAATTTTCAAAAAGAAATTTAATAATTGTTTCAATTTTTACAGGAATAAACCAGTCACTTGCACATTTATATACCCATGTAAGTAAATTTTGAAAATTTCGCGACCCATTCTGGAGGGGGAGGGGAGGAGGGAGAGGGGGCTTTTCCCATATTTAGGTATAAAAACATATACAATTTCTTGGTCCACTTACACACCTCATTTTGTGTTCGTTATGCTTTAGTCCATTTTTCAAGCTCTTCACGTCCATTTATTCTCTCTTATTGTTGACTAACTTTCGCAACTATTTTTACAACTTCTCTGCATATGACGCACTCATATTTTTCCATCATGTAGGCCGTGACGTAAGCTGCAAACGCAGACACAGTTCTGCAAAACTTTGACGACGCATCTGTGGTATGAGGGGAAAACTATATAAAATTACAAATTTGGCTGAAACTTTGCAGATAGGTTATCTGACATGGTGATCACGAAAATGATATTCGTTTCGCATGGTAGGGGCTTTTTTTGTAAGGTTACAGTAGGTTTACGGTATGGGGTCTCACGCTAAACAAAAAAGAGGTTAATTTGATGAATGAGTGTGATATTCGTATGCAGGGCAATTAACTCCACCATGCAAAGTTTTGGTGAATTCTAAGACTTCGATTCCTTGGTGATTGACGCTTATCCTTGAGCAGCTTGCTCAACTTTGTGAGGGTGCCAGGTCTTGAGTTGTCTTCGAATTCCATTTTTTTCCTTACTGATCCAGATAAGTCAACCTCTAGAAACAATTTTTACACACTTTCGGATTGCTTTGCATGGTTCAGGTTGAGAATGGCTTCATTTTCTCTCAAAACTTCATGAATTCTCGAACTTCACTAGTCTTCGTAAATCTCTCGAATCTTTTCTTTTTGTCCTCAGAAAGCGAGCGATTTATGTCAGTTTACAGCTCTCACGGCAGTCTATATACAATATCTAAATTTGAGCACGCCAATATCAGAAACCGAAAAATTACGGACTCAGTTGCAAATCTTAGTTAACGGCCTAATTAACCCGAAAGAATAAAATGCGGCGGCTGGATCCATCCTTATGTATGATTATGTATTGTTTTCAATGGACCAGCTGCAGAACCGTTCCTGACCGTTGGGACAAGCGGCGGTTTTGCCTCCGATATACTACGGCAAAACCTCTGTTTTGCATTTCGCAACACTAAGAATGACACGGGGGGGGGGTGAAGCATTCGTCAGCTTTACGTACTACAGTCAATGGGGAACGTTCCCCGCACAACAAATGATCGTGGAACAAAACGGATGCCAATGCAGTCAAACAACCAGCCTATTGAGAATGTACATCTGTTCAGACCTAGTGATACGTACGACTAAGTAAAACTACAATACACGGAAGTCTAGCAGCTGTTGGAGTGCATCAAATATGAGCAAGCTTTTTACACACTATTACTCAGGTCGGCTACTTTCCGACAAGCTACTTGTCAACATTGAGAAGGAAAGGTCTGAGTCCTCAAAGACAATGATCGTGACTAACAAAACAATGATATGCAAAGATAACGAGAAACCGAATATCTCATAACAGTACAATGGATTGATAAGAAGATTCCTAACGTACAAACAAGTTCGAAGCTATTGGAGTGTCGCTGCCGTGGAAGTCACTTAGAATACCCTGCTGCAAGTACTGTCACTACTCAGATCCAGAACTATGAGACAATGATAATTGCGGGTAAACATCTGGGTGGCCGTTGCCCATAACGATGCGTGTCATTCTGCCCATCTCGAGCTCGAAGCATTCCTGTTGGAGGAGAAGTTGTGGGATATGCTCTGCATGCCACTTCCATCCGCCATTACTGACGTTAATCCATTGGTTCCGCGGACCTGTAAAAACCTGAAATTCTTACCGTGGTCCTTCGAGGGCCTTGACTGAGTTCGTAGCAGCTGAGCGGCCCCGAAAGGGTGGGCGGGTGGGCCCTCAGCTGACGAAAGACCGGAATGGTCATCCAAGGGCCAAGCACGCGTCTTGGCTCTAGCTCCGCCTTCTAGACGCGCGCTTGGCCAACTGCCAAAGCGCGCTGCGAAACTGCAAAACTCCATTCTTCCGCATGCTGCATTGAAACGGAAGCACATGTCAAATGTGTTGAAATATGCAAGCATTTGATGGTGACGAAAGAAAATTACTACGGAACAGGGTCAAGCGTGTGATGCGACTGTCGCAACGGGGGGTCGTAAAGGGAGCCTACGGTGAGGGGGGGGGGTCGTAAGAGGGGGTAGTTTGGATAAAAAACCGTACGATTGAAAGCAAATCAAATAGCAAGTAATTATTACATGTTCTTAACAATAAATTCATGGAAAGCGTGTACCAATGTATCAAATAACAACGAGTGAACAATAATTTGAAAACATTTGCAAGTTAGAAATTCGCTTCTGCTGCACTTCTGAAAGATTATGACTTAGTTTTTTTAGGGGAATCGCTATTTCTCCCACAAATATTGTCTCAAACGGGGATCGAACCCTGCTGGCATGACTAAAATCTAAAAAATAAACACTTTCAGAAGCTCAAATGCTACTAAAGGCATGTATGTGTGATAAAGATGTTGGATGTACCGATTGGTGTAGACATCCTGCTTCCGAAGGCTCACTGAAGACTCGCACACTCGACAAAAGCGCACATGTAGATCAACGATGACAATCAATAATTCGTAAATCTTTTTGTAATGCCATTTATGCGGCCCTTACAATTTATGTGTACTTTAGATAAGCCCTGCTACTGCTGTGCGAAATCTGGTGTTATTTTATAAGCTGCGGATTTTCTTATGATTTTACGTATGGTAGCAAAAAATGAGAAAAGGGGGGTCGTATCTGCGCCTGATCTAAATTTCTCCGGAGCTATTGAAGTTTGTTAGCTGCAAACTTGCTGTAATACGAAATCATCCCTGTAGTTTTTATCATAAGAATTTCAGGCTGTTTTATAGCTTCTCTGGTAAGTTACAAAATTTTGAGCTCAAAAATCCCAGTTTTTGTTTTTTAGGATCGCATCTAAATTTGCGAGAGCCTGATCTAAATTTTTTTGAGCTCACTGCTCTTCAAGGGCTAAAACTTTTTCTATGAATAGTCTGGGCACTATGCTACAGAACCTGTTCTTTGAAGCCTCTCAGTCTTTTCCTGGCCTTAGTTACGAATTTTCAAACTACCGTGCTCATGCACGTTTTTGACGTCGTTCTGAACGGCGCTAAAGCGGTTTTTTTCGCAGGAAAAACTGTGGAAGAGGTAAAAACTGAGCTTCTTAGTCGAAAACACCTTTTGTAGTTCAAGAATGTCATTTTTTTCCCCGTGTAAAAATTTGTGTCGCATACGGGAATCGAATTTGCTGGCCTGAAGTATGCCTGAAAATTCAAAAGTAAACTTGCAGAATCTCAAACATTATTGAAGGTGTGTATATGTGCTAGAGATGCTGGGCGCACCCATTGGTCTAGAAATTCTGCTTCCGACACCTCACTGAAGTTCTCACGTAGGTGTTTTTTGAGATTGACACTCGTTTATGCAGGTTACCGCGAGAAATGTGGGCAGAGGAGGTAAGGGGGATGGATGGGGGAGCGGAGGGAGGGGGAGGGGGGGGGGGATCGTACGGATGGTTACCTTCAAGGGAGGGGTCGTAAATGAGGGTCCAGGATCGCATCAACACGCTTGACCCTGCTACGGAATCATACCACTCATTGATTTGTTCACATGTCACTACGCCGTCTTTTCTAATTGTTCATTGAATTCAGGGGGGGAGGTAAGTGAGCATGCTGTGTACTCAAAGCCAGCGTCCCGTCAAATGACGGGTGACGGAATCTTACGGTGTTTCTATGGCAGACCCATGACTAATCTATTAGTGAAGTCTGGAACGAAAAAGTGTCTGGAAAGCCTAAGATCCACTTTGGAAGTCTTTCGGACCTTGCCCACTTACGTGTACCACGTTTCAGCAAATAAGAACATGGAACGCCTCGAAAAACTGCAAAGCGATAAGGGCTTAGTACTGCGAGATATCTCCAAAATGTTGAAATATCTCCAAAATGCTGAAATAGTGGCAAGCGAAATTTTGCCGGGACACTGCCTCAAAAACTGGGTGTGAAAAAACTGTATGTACTCATTGCTTCTATCGATTTGTTCGGCGTTTTTGCAATTCTTTAGGTACCGGGTTGGGAGTTGGGACAGGTGGCAAATGAGCACGCCAGTTACGAGTTAAATAATCGTTTGTAAGAATAGCCGCTAAAATTATGAATTTTATCGATTATTTGCAAAATGAGCAAAGAAAGTTGGAGTCAAGGTCAAGCGTGGGATGCGGCACGCCACAGCTGGGGGTAGTAAAGGAGTCAAGGAAGAGGGGGGGGGGAGATTGTTATCGAGGTGATAGAGGTGTCAGCGACGTGACGTCAGTCAACAGTGTCTGATAGGCCCATTCGCAAGATACCAACACTGATGTTTGGCCTACCGTCTTACACGCACAGTAAGTGTATTAAAAGAATCCTAGAAGCATAAGAGCATCATCGTAATTAGCATGTCAAATAACCCCTGTGGGAGAAGTTCCAGCGAATTTTGAGGTTTCCAAATAGAGGAGCACTCAAGTGAGGTGGTCATTTCGAACGTGCTAACTTTGTTTCAAAGGTGAGTAAGCTACTTTTTTGCATTCATTACAAAGTACTAGATACTACTTTGCTCACATTAGGAATTCCACTCCAATTAACCTCCAAACTCTAGAGTTAAGAGCAAGACAAAATCTCGTTTGTCTAATTTTTCGTTTTCAATTTCTTACAAGGAAAGGAAGGTTGGTCGAAGTGGCCTTTTTAAATGAGATGTAAACTGCCTTGTAGAGCTTGGGACGCTGATTCCAAATCTGCTTTTGCTATCTGCTGCGAGCTTCTGGGCGAGGAGTTATGAAGATTTTTATGAGTAAAAATCTGAGTGCAAGAGTAGGCTAAAATCAGTCGTAACATTTTTATAGGGTTTAGTTGGCAGTCAAGTCACTCGGTGCAACAAATGTTCTTAATTCAAGTATACCAATTCGCTGCTGCTTCATTTGAACATTGGGAAAAGGTTACGAATGACTTTACCCTATTCTTGCATTCAGATTTTTACTCACAAAAACCTTCATAACTCCTCGTCCAGAAGCCCGCAGCAGATAGCAAAGGTAGATTTGAAATCACCGTTCCAAGCTCTATAAGGCAGTGTACATCTCATTTCAAAAGGCCACTTCGACCAACCTTCCTTCCCTTGTTAGATCAGAGAAGACCAATCAGACAATCACTTTTGTGAAAGTTACGAGGATAAGGCTTTGGAATATACTTGTTCCTGCCTTCCCTCGCGATTCACATAGTAGCGCTGATTTAGCATATTGTCTTAACTAGTTATTCGCAGTGTTTTTCATTTGCTCAGAGGAAAGATGACTATATCTTTCCCTAGGAGAAACAATTTTGTATGAAATTTCTGCTATATGGAGAAGAAGATTTAGCAGTAGCAACTATGTAAAAAAGAAGGAGATTTGAATGTTTGTAAGTAAGTTAATGGGGTGTGGCGGCCACAGCTTTTTACGGGTTGTGCCACGCTTCAATAACTCGCCTCCGAGAAGAATTTTAGCGAACGAAATACATATAGTTTGATAGCCTGAGTCTTGTAGTTTACATGGGAGTAATTTGGGCCTGATTCATCTTCTTCGCACTGAGTAAAATTTGATGAAAGCGCAGCCATTAGAAGCGAAAAACGGAACAAGCTATATTCGGCCTGCTTTCAATCCATAGTTTGATAATTATTTGGAGCAGGAATCATGGAATGGTTAAATATGGAATAATGCTTTGTATCGAGTAGAAAAAGAGTTAGCTAGTTCATTTTTGAGACATAGTTAATCATTTTGAAAATGGCCACTTCACTTGGATGGTCCGATATTGGAACTCCTCAGAATTTGCTAAAACTTTGCTCATGGTGGTTATTTGATATGATAGAATATGTGCCTAATTATGCATGGTAGAGCCTTTTTGTCATGCCTATGGAAGGCAAATAATAATACTGGGGGGGGGGGGGATTGAGCATGCTTATTCATCTCATCGATTTTTCGTGTGAAAACCAATCTTTGCGCGGAAGCTTCAATACGTTTTGTGGAGCTTATTTTGCTCTATCGAACACTACCCCCCATGCGTTCTTGGGGTTCGCCTGATTGCGGTGCAAGCAAGCAAATAAAAACTGCATTATTTTCTTGACAACCTGATAATATTGCGTGCAGTGTAATGCTGTTAAAGCTATTCTCCCGATGCCACTTGACATGTCCCACGTCGTATGTCAGAATCGCTTGCTGATTGAGATAGGTCAACTTGTATATTCCGATTCAAGGTCTTTTGATGAACGAGATCTCTGGTCTAACTTGAATGTTGGAGCTACTGCAAAAAAATTTATTACCCTATTTTCCGGCTTGTAAGCCGCACCTGCCGCAGCACAATGGCGCGAAAGCGCATTTGAGAAGAGTTATCTAGCAAGTTGAATAATCGGTGCGTTCTAGTACGGACAGTCATGTCTTCAGGCACTTTTTTTACTCCTTTAGAAGCGCGTGCTAATTTTGGTGCCACAAGTGGGAGGAAGTCCTATACAGTCGTATAGGACATGTTCCATGAGACTACTAGTATTTGAACGTTCTTTTATTGTTCAGCGGATCTGAATAATAAATGAGAAGATAGATAATTTTGTTACAGACAAATACACTTGCGAAGATACCAAATAAAGAACGAAAGCAGAAAGCTCGTATTAGATTACCAGGAGGAATAGATAGTAGTTGCTGCTTGTGCGCCGTCGCGCATCGCGAACGACATTGCATTTCAGCCCGCGCGCGGTGAAAAGAATTGCGGCTTATACGCCGGAAAATAGGGTACTTGATAAAAGCGTTAAGACCGTCTGTTATCTTTGCGTGTACCATAGGAGCTGTTGCCAAGCTGTCGAGCTACAGTTTTGCATGACATAGTACTAGCATGTAGGTCTACCATGCACAAGGACAAGCAGGCCCATAAGCGGATTCGAACGTGCGTCAAGCGGGTGCACGCGGCTTTAGCGGCTTAAGAAGTTTGTATTTCTAAGAAAACATCGCCAAAAATAATGGCGTGGATAGTCGATTTGTCAAGGACTTACCTGAAAATTTAAAAATTTGATTTTTGCTCAGAAATATAGTTCAGGGTGATTATTATCGTTAGTGGTTAATTGATTATTATCAAGCCAAAACAAACTCAGTGACTTATTTAAGCTAGCATATGTTCTCCTGCAGAGAAGTTTCTTCTTGTAAAATTACCGTCCTTGATGTCCCTTCCACAGTTGCTGATGCACTTGACCTGTGTCTCTCATCTGCGCACGTTTCAAAGTGTTAGCAACGTGCAACAACTTGTTTACAATATGCAACAACATGTTCGCAGAATTTTGGCTATCAGCCTTAGGGCCAACATGTTGTTCCATGTGGCCAAGATATTGGCCACGCCTGTCGCAATCAGAGACGCAGAACAAGGGTAGCAGCAATTGTGGAAGGGACGAGGAAAAATTGCAAAAGCAGTTGTTTACAATTCATTTGTAATGTTCAGCGTTGCGCGGTGATATTCGAAGCCGCCATTATGTGAGCATATATTTAGTAGAGCCAGCGCGAAACTCCGTTAAGCAGAACTGAGGCATTGATTGACTAGATCTGCGAACTCGTTAAATAAAAACATAACATGCCATGGATTAGACTAGGACATATAAAATATTCAAACTTGTTCCACATATATACCGTTATTAAGAAAATGCCTACATCTTCAGTGAATAAATACAGTGAATTAAATATACAGTGAATATTTCGCGATAATTCCATTTTTGGCTTGAGCAAAGAGTGAGTCTGCTTCACTTTGCTCAATAGTTGGTGCATCTGTTCGTGATGTCGCGATCTCGATCTTTGACTTCTTGATTAATTGACATGTGATAGACCAGCTACCATATATTTCTTGGAAGACTAATTTGAACAGCGTCTCAAAGGAAAATTACGTTTCTTTCTAGAAGCCTCTTTCATTCTATGTTTCCATTGATAGTAACAAATGATCGCGGTTCGTCACACCTTGATCTTTTTACTTACATGTCACACCTTAATTTTAGTTCCATCAGCAGAGATGATAGTTGATGGTTTTATAGAATGTTCATCGTGATCAGAAAACGAGGTGCAAAACTTGCTGTAGGGATTCTCTTTACGTTGGGAGGTGTGATAACGCTTTACACAATGTGTCCCCAGGTGGGTTTCTCCAGTCTTGAGCCTTGTGTGATATGCTTGCTTCATGAAATCATTGATTACGTAGGCCACCTCATTATTGGAAAGCAGCGATGGAGTTGATTTTGCTACTGTTCGCAAGATAGAAGAAGCATATGCTCGACTCAATGGACCTCAGGGAGTTAAGTGTTACTCCCTCTTGAAAAAGGTGATTAGCTTTGACTTGATGTTCAAATAAACCAATCCTTTGAATTTCTTGATCACAAACATAATAAAGTGTGGAGACATTCCGTAGTCATCACTACTCTTTTCAAAATGACGGTTTTCTTCGTCCTTGCTGAAAACATAAAAATTTTTTCTGTATTTGCCCATAAAAAGTTATATGGTTGAAAATGATATAAACTGAAGGGATTCGCTGCAGCACAAAACTGCTGGTATTTGAGGGATATTTATGAGAAATGGCAAGAATGTATTTCTAACTCAGATTTGATGGGAAGAATATTCTACAGAGACAGCACTATTTTCGCACTCATTGATTTCGTGAATATGAGAAGTATAATCCCAGCTATGGAGATTCCATTTCTTAACTAGAAATTGCCAAAAACAAACATCTCAATAACCCCAGTTCTCAAAATTTGAAATCAATTAATTTTAGTTCCTCACAAAGGATGTGTTGGAAGAGCTTAAGTACAAGAAAACCAAGTTGGGGGCAACTTTGTATGACTGCATTCGCTCAGGTTAGCCTTGATATTAAAAAGGAACAATCAATGCATTCATGACTCACGTTGAATCATATACAAAATTCTTGTAATATAGAGCTCTTAATCAGGCGTGTACAACCTAGACGCCGGTGTTGGTGCTTATGCTCCAGATGCAGAAGCATATAAGGTACGAGAATGTGACCTTGTCATTTGGAATTTGAAAATGTTCTCAGACATTTGCCCCACTGTTTGATAGAATCATCGAAGAGTATCACGGATTCAGTCTTGGACAAAAGCAACCATCTGTTGACTTGGGAGACGGGAAAATTCATGAGTTTCCTCCTCTTGATCCAGGAGCCAAGTATATCAGATCAACTCGCATCCGTTGCGGAAGGGCGGTGGTTGGATATCCTTTCAATCCTCTTTTATCCGAGGTTAGAGTTAAGAACTTGGTTGCTTTGACTTTGGAAGTATGATTCATCTTTTCAGAAAAGTTATTTGGAAATAGAAGAAAAGTTGAAAAGAGCCTTTGAAACATTCGAAGACAACGAACTGAAGGGCAAATATTATCCATTGAACGGGATGACACAGCGGACTCAGAAACAACTTATAGATAATCACTTTCTTTTCAAGGAAGATGATCGTCACCTTCATGCTGCAAACGCATATAGATTCTGGCCTAAGATATCGCTTTTGCCCTTCTTGTATCTCTTTCCTCCACCACGTTCAATGTCCGGGACAAAGGTGGCAAATCTCAATGGATCTTGGAGAAAAAGCAAAGGGATGTCGTAAATATAGACAGGGTCAAGCGTGGGGTGCGGCACGCCACACCTGGGGGGTCGTATTGAGGAGTCAAAAGGGGAGGGGGTCGTAGTTGGGTAATCTGATAATAGTGATAACATGATATTTGTGTCATATCCATAATTAGCATGTCAATTAACCCCTGTAGACAAAGTTTGAGCGATTTCTGAAGATTTAAAATACTAGGCTACCTAAATAAAATGGTCAAATTCCAACGTGTTAACTTTGTTGCAAAGGTGAATTAGCTATCCGTTTTTGCACATAAGACAAAGCACTACTCCTTCTTTGTCCACCTCAGGAATCCCGCTTCAGAAGACCTGCAAACTGTGGAATTAGAAGCCAACCAAAATCTCGTTTTTCCCATTTTTCGCTTTTGATCGCTGTGCTTTCACCAAATATTACTCAGAGCTAAGAAGACGAATCAGGCTCCAAACAGTCCTATGGAATCTAGAAGGTTTAGGCTATCGATTCATATAAATACTGTCTGCTAAAAATGTTTTTTTGATATAGTTAATGGGGTGCGGCACACCCCCTCAAAAGCTGCGGCTGCCGCAGCTTGTAAGGGGGTGTGCCGCACCCCCTTAACTTGCCTTCAAAATCCAGAAAGCGCTCCATTGCTGGTATGAGTATTGAGCACATAGTTTCTTCTTGCTACAATGGAAATTTGGAGCCGAACGCCCCACCCATAAGAAAATTATGGCCCTTTCAATATGCCCATTCTGATCAAAATCAGCCGTCAAATTATGTGTGATTGTAAAGTGCAGTCACAGAAAATCGGGCGTACAGCTCTCAGAAATCTGAAAACTCTCTAGAAAAAGCTGGTGTCCTCCAGAGTGTCACACTTTGAGGTCCAGAGGTTAAGAGGAGGAAGAAGGGGTCGTTTGAGGACTTTCATGGGAGGGGGGGGGGATTGTTTTCGAAAAACTTGTGCCTGACCTCTTTCTCAACTCTGGTAATGCTATCTTAGGTATATAGTTCAGGGGGGGGGGTCTTATTAAGACAGCAATCAGGGGGGGGGGGGGTCGTAACCAGCAATCGTGTGCCACACCCCTTGCTTGACCCTGAATATAAACGCTTACATGCACCTACCCTGATTTCCAGAGGCATGACAAATGCTTTAAACGACTGACTGCTTACGACCTTGCTCAAGGCGCGCTTTGCGGAAGCCGATTTTCCACGAAATGATGAACAATTTACTTGTTTGCAGCGTCCAGATAACGATACGACACCAAATTTTGTATCTAAGCGAGTAAGGGCCAGTAGGAACTAACTCGTGGAGAAATCATGTGATGAAGGCGTGGAAGGCTTTTTGCTAAAAAAAACTTATCTACTGAAAATCCAAAAAACGTTTGCAAACACTTGAAGTTATCGCTGCAGATATGTATATATGAGCAGTGGAAGATAAGAACAAAGTATATACGAATTACTAGATGGCAAACCCGGCTCCGCCCGGGGCCAAACTTTGCACACATACACTTCGGGGCAGGGAGCGTGTCATAGTCCACTTTTCGTTATCGATCGATGTCGATTTCACCGATTTTTTGCAAGTTTTGAGCTAGGGGGCTGGGATTTTGCACAGGGGGGTAATCGAACATGCTGATCACCCCCACGGGGGTGATCAGCATGTTCGATTACCCCCCCCCCCCCCCCTGTGCAAAATCCCAGCCTCCTAGCTCAAATTTTGCAAAAAATCGATAAAATCGATATCGATCGATAACAAAAAGTAGCCTATGACACGCTCCCTGCCCCGAAGTATATGTGTGCCAAGTTTGGTCCAAATCGGTTCAGAAATAAAAATTTCTATTCCGCACATACGTCAGACAGACAGACATACAGACAGACAGACACACATTCAGCTTTATATATAAGATGTGAGAACAATGAGAAGCGTGTGCAAGTTTCCAATTCAATGTGGTAATTGCCCTCTGAATGTGGCAAAATCATCAGTTTACATAATTTTTTAGTGTTTCTTTTTACAAAAATCTGATCTACCCTTAGACTTTATTAATAGTAGTATGTTGGTTTAAAAACTTCTCTCCTCTTTGTTAGATTCCAATTAACAACGATACGCCGGTCTTTGCGGAGGGAGGCGCTCAAGGGCACCGTCCACCCAAATTCTCGACTTCCATGTTTTTGCCGTTCCATGGCCTTCTCGTATTCCTGATTTCAAATATCAAGTCGAGAATCCGCAAAAACCCCGAAAATCCCAGTTCTCAGAACTTGCATGGCGAGTTCTCCGGAACGGTGATTGGTTGGGTGCTCACGGATGGGCGGGACGAACGTCACGCCTACATAAAGGGGAGGAGCCAACTCTAGCGAATCCGTCATCTGAGAGATTTGAAACAATTTTTTTGCTTTGGATGCAACTTTTGGCAGCGCGAGTCGGCAAATGTACAGTTGGGGGTCCCACTACTATTAGCCATCAAAATCTCATCGACCCCATTTTGGGTGGACGGTGCCTTTAAAACTTGAGAGTGAAAAGGGCGATTTCATTTCAAGTGTCCATTTTCCATCCTTGTGCCGGGCCGTAATCATTTCCCCGAGTTATGTCCGCAAACCATAAGTGCTTCACTATTGCACTTGCAGGGGCGAGGAATATATTACAATGACGAAAAAACATTCCTGATTTGGGCGAACGAGGAAGATCATGTGCGCATCATCTCTATGCAAAAGGATAGCAACGTAGGGCAGGTGCTGGACAGGTTAAACAGGGGTGTCAAAGTAAGCCTCCCTAATCCAAAAAATTATTCAAATTTTAGCACTGTATATGACTGAAATATATTCACAGCTTACTATTTCTGAGGGATATCATTTCACTGAGAAGAGGATTAGAATCTGAAGACTGGGAAGATCTTTTCAGAATCTGGGAGCGTAAATTCACAGTGGGGAAGATCCGCCCACTTGCTGATTTCCCTCGTGCATTAGAGCCCTTTTCCCCCTTTTTGCGGTCTCCAGTGTGGATTTTCGGATTCAGCATCCAGAGGATAGGCCCGGATAAGCACAAAATCTCAAAATCGACTCTTTGCTAGGACCCTTCAAATGGGACTTTTCTCCTGCGAGTTCTTCGAGCGCATCCTAATGTTCAAACGCTTAGGATAACTATGTGGGCAAATTTGTCACCCGGATTAGCATTTGCCTCATCAAGAAAAGAATAAGAATTTTTTTTTACAATACTTCTTGCCAAAAATACCCCAACCAGGCAAGGGTTTACTCAAAGAAAGAGTGAAATTTTGTAAATCAGTGTAGCACAACGAGTTTTATGGTGTTGCGGTGCTAATCCACTAATATGCAGTGATGAGTTTCTTGTTAAGCACATTGAGAAACATGTGCATTTTGCTCGTGATGAGCGTCTTGGGTGGTTGACATTCTGTCCGACAAACTTAGGATCAACGGTCCGTGCATCCGTTCATATAAAACTGCCGAAACTTACAGCGAACATGAGCAATTTTGTGGTAAGCAATTGCACTTCAGTTTTCAATCATTGATTAACTTCAAGATATCAGGTTATGTGCAATAGGTTAAATTTGCAACTTCGAGGAGTACATGGAGAACATTCAGAACCGATATCGGGAGTCTACGACATATCAAATAAGGTGCAGACACAGCTCTAAAGTTGTTAAGATCTCTTGTAAGAATATTCAAACTTTCATTGCAGGGTCGTCTTGGCATATCTGAGTATCAAGCTGTGAAGCAAATGTACGACGGTGTCAAAGAACTCATCAGGAAAGAAGAGACGTTATGACAAACTTATGTACTTTTTGTGGGGCTGAATGTCGTGCAACAACTTTGGCATTTACAACATTCTGTTTGCTTCCAAATATGTTAATGTCAGCTTAATAAAATCATGGGTATTTCTGATCACAAGATGATGCTGATCATGCATAATTTTTGATACTTGTTTTGACTTGCTCCAGTATATTAGGTAAATGCAACAAACAAGGGAATGATCCCAAGTCGAGGTGACTGGAGTGAAACGTATATCGTTGTCTGCTTCTTGATAAGCTAATTTCAAATCTACATTCCACATCTGCGTAGCACGCGGTTTTTTGAAAAAAAAAAGAGCGTTAAAACATTCAAATGGCATTCATTTAGCTCCAAACCTTTGGTAATGGTTGTTCAAAAACATTCATTCCCGGTAAATCTTCTTTGCACTTCTTTTTTCCTTCTTTTTCTTCTATTTTATTTTTCATCTCTCAATAGTCTTCTTTTTAGATTCTCGCTCTTGTCCATGCGGTTCACTATCTTTTTCGTATAACGGTTTCATGGCACGCGACTCTACCTGTCTCATGTTGATCCTTACTCTGGGCTGATTGTGGTCGAGGGATGCGGAACGAATGCTTTGTTGGACAGTAGTTTATGTTAGATCAGACTCTACCACTTCATTGGACCTTGGCTCAAATTATTGCCGTTCTCTGTTTAATTTTCTCCTAACACTTTCATGCCTCACGCATTACTTTGGGTCTGGTTCCATCTTATCACCTCAGTTATGCTTGGGCTAGCTTGTTTGGGCTTGAGACTTTTGCATTGTGCAACTTCTATCGGAGTTCTGTTCTCTCCCCAGAGTTTTGGTTGGGCGGGTTTTATCAATATTACTACCAATACACCTGCTTCCAACATATACAATTGCTTATGTTGAGTAAGAGCATCTTTTGCTAAGAGCAGGGGGCATGAGACAGACTCCATTGAACCTCTATACCTGTGATGACTTCATATATGTCTAAACAAGGTCACTCCCTTTCCATTCCCAGAAAGGTTTTGCGGACTGGACTTGAACTGATTTAGTGGGGAGTTTGCCTTTTTGTTTTATTTTTTTTTTGTTGTTGGTTGTTTGGTGTAATGCTTCGTTCTTCTGTTGTATGGGCGCGCCTTGTGCGTATTAAATAAATAAATAAAATAAATAAATAAATAAATGCGACCATTCTTTGAATTAACACTGATATGATGCTAGTTACATTCCCAAGTTGGATCTTAAAGCTCATTATACATCTAAACCCCATGACTTCACAATTACAACCACTATGACTTTTTCCAAAGAACCGCATCGCAGGGGAAGTCTGGAATTAGTTCATCTTCCACTTCACTACCTCGACTTGGGAACATTCCTTTGTAGGGACAATAATTCCATTTTGTCTAAACTCCTCAATTTTTTTAAGCCCAAGAGTAGAGGTAGCAGGAGATTCTAGTACACAAGAAATTGTTTAATACACTTTCTTCATGGCACCATATCAAAAATCCTAGTCAATTGATTAAAGGAAGCATCACAACTTTGTCCTCACATATCTGCCAAAGAGTGCTTACATGCTTTCTTTCCCGCTACAAGTATTGGATTGGCTTACAATATCTCCGTCATAGCAAGCTTCAGGCAATTTGAACGCTAGGAGATCGCTCGTGGAAAATAATTGGGGCCTGACTACGACATTGCTGTAGTGGCAGCTCAAATCTTGTACTGTATTTGAGTTTGATATTGGGTTGCCTGGGAACGAATGCAGGTTTCATAGCGGTTACAGGAGTATAGGGGTCCTTATGCAGTGCAGGAGTACATACCATTCGATAGGGCAAAGCAAGCTCTATGAAGCTGTTTTGAAAGTTCGCAAAAAATTTGATCCACGTGAGTAAAGTTGCGGTATTTCACGGTCAGAAGTTGAGAAAATAAAAGTTGGCGTGCCCTAGCAAATGCAATACTGACATGGGTATTCTATATCGAAAATCTTTGGTAGTGTAACCATTAATTTTCGGCTTTCTCCAAAGACTTTCCGAGGAATATTGAATTTGGCATGAAAACCCGACAAAGGTGAAGATTCGCATTTTTGGCCCATTTTCAAATTCCCATCAGCATTCGAAAGTATACATATAAATGGGCTGATGTAAGGAGTAACGCCTGAAGTTGGGGGTCCGCAGTATCTTTTTTAACGAAAACTTGGTCGTTGGGTTATTGAAATTTTTTGGATTTTGCTTTCAGTCATGCGGATCTGACTTCCTGCGATCTTTTGAAGGTACCCTTGTATAGCTTGCTTCGCTCTATCTTGTGATATGTCTCCCCCATTTTTATATCTCACAGCTGCGATCGCGTCGTCAAAAACTAATTTCCGGACAACCTAATGTGTTTTCGAACCCCCCCCCCCCCCTATTGTAAGTGGCGGACATCTACAGTATTGCATACTGTTAGGTAAGGACACAACGTCCCGTAATAGAATCCCGCATGAAAGCCTGCAGGATGATACGCCACAAGCAAGTACGCTTCTGGGAGGTACCTGGGTGATGCATTTAAGCCTGAGTTTGAGCAGCAGATATAGAAGGCATATATGGGCAAAACAGTTTATCGTAATCTGCAAATTATGAGCCAATATAAACCGTAGCATGATAGGCTTGAGAAAAAGGAAATCAAGAAAGGGATTTGGTTTTGGATTATTTTGCCCTAGCTGGCAGCCCTTTCACGCCGGTTACCTCCTCTCAACAATATCAAGGTCTCAAGAGATAAACTTTGCTTAAAGGCAGTGTCCGGGCACTAAGTTAATTTTGAGATTTTGACATGGGCCTATTCGCTATGCTTAATCCGAAAATCCACACCAGAGCGCGAAAGCGGCGAAAAAAGTCTCTAAAACGCAGATGAGGGGGGCCGTCCACCCTGTGAAGCCACTCTCCCAGCTTTACGAGCCTCTTCTCGCTTTCATTTCCAAGTCACACGTTTGCACATGGGTGGTGTCGATGTTAGTGCCAGGGCTCGGCAGGAGGTGGCATTTCAGAATTTTGAAAACGATATCCTCTTTGAAGCCAAAATTTCTTACGACTTCCCCTTTGACCCTATTTTTGACCCCCGTAAGTCCCTGACGAACAGATATACACAAATAATAAGATGGGCGGTTTCAGCGCTTATTATAGTAGTACTACCTGGCTTTCCTGGTCCAGCCCGGGTCATCAAGGTTTCAGCTCAATGGGTTCATCCGCAAAGGAATCTATAAAAAAAACGTAGGGTCAAAATTTGCACAAACTTTGACGTTTATATATCTAGGATACTACTCATTTATTGGTCAGCTGCGAAACTTTACAATTTACAATAACCGATTGCGATTGGAGCGCGCTTTCCGAGGCCGATCATAACGCTGTGAACCCTATTTGGGGCTGTATCGAAGCGGTGCCTTGGTGGTTTTGGAAGCGGATTTGAACATAAAGTGATACTCTCGATCTAGTCCACATTTATGTAAAGATTTCCAGGAAATTATGTGAAGGAAAGCAGGAAGCCACCCCAGGTGGCTCCTAGGTGGCGCGGGAGCCACCTAATTTCGAAAAACACTTACCATTTTTTAAATTCACATAAGTTTCTCATAATTCCTCTACTTTTTTTGTGCTCATGGTCCTCCAACTACACAGCAAATTTGGTGTCATATCGTTACTTGTGCATTGAAAATGAGCCTATTTTGTTATTTTCCTCTTACAAGAATTGCGATTTGAATTCCCGCCTGCGGGCAGGCTAGCGATCGGAGCACAGAATCTTCACATTGCTGGAATCTAAGTTCATAGGACAGTAGCATCAACAAGGAATGATGAATAAAGAATGATATGTGCATTGTTTATCGGTAAACAAAGGGGAAGTCGTAGTTTGGGGTCCGGCGCTCCGCCCCGGACCCCAAAATACGACTTCCCCTTTGCTTTTTCGGGCCAAAAACGATATCCAGCTTGTGAAAGAGCCATCCCCGCCGGGCCCTGGTTAGTGCCGCCTAGCGGAAGCGAAAAGATCGCGCTTGAAGCTGGGAAAGTGGCTTTGCAGAGTGGAGGCCCCGTTCAACTGCCGACACTTCTCCTGCGTTAAATAACCTTTTTCGCCGTTTTCATTTGAATACAAGTTAGGTACTGGGTTTTTTTAGCTCGGTGATCACCGTAGAACCGATAACTGCCATCGGCTGCATCGCGAACAAAAATATCCTGAATTTTTCAAGTGAAGCCTTGACAAACTGACGATCTGCGCAATCAATCCTTTTTGACGAGAATTTTGTGACAAAAAAGATGCCGGTCTTTTTCTGGGCTAAAAAATTGCTCGCAGCTTTGAATGCTAAAACTATGACATTGAAAAAAGTCCACATACGAACTCGGTCGAGGGGCCAAAAGAAGCGTGGATCCGCTTGATGCACAGATTTTAAAGCCGGGCTGTTATTCGCTGTCCGAATTAGGTGACAGTCAGACATACCCACAAAAACAGGCGTTAGCGCGTTACTATAGGAGGATAACGTATGATGCGACGTTATCTTCCGGACATTCTAATACTTATGGATGACTAGCTGGCTTACCCGGCCCGCCGTATGTTCCGAATAGAAAATTCCATTTCTTAACCGATCCGGACCAAACTTGGCACACATACACTTCGGGCCCGGCGGGTGTCACAGCCCACTTTTCGTTATCGATCGATGTCGATTTTATCGATTTTTTGTAAAATTTGAACTACGGGGCTGGGAGTTGGCAGAGGGGTGTAATCGAGTATGCTGATTACGAATACAATATTAGTTTTCGAAACCGTGCATTATTTTTATCGATTTTATCGATTTTTTGCAAAATTTGAGCTAGGGGGCTAGAATTTGGCAGAGGGGTGTAATCGAGCATGCTGATCACCCCCACGGGGGTGATCAGCATGCTCGATTACCCCCCCCCCTGTGCCAAATCCCAGCCCCGTAGCTCAAACTTTGCAAAATAATCGATAAAATCGATAAAAGTAATGCACGATTTCAAAAACTAATATTGTATTCGGAATCCCCATGCTCACTTACCCCCCTGTGCCAACTCCCAGC